GATTGTGTAATTGTATTAAAAATAACAACTATAACTTCTAAATTCCATATAAAGACTAATCGTAGGGATAACTAAACTTATTAATAAAATAAACGTTGGCAATGTCGTAGTTTTAGGGTCTGTGGAAAAGCTCAGTGCTTCAAGGACGAATGCCTCGTGCACTTATTAATTTTAGTTTTTGAGACAGTTCCGTGTTGACTATCACGTGCGCGTGAGCGACAGTTTAATCGTTTTGTTTATAACATTCTTCTTGTTACCTTTTTCTTTTTCTTGTTTTGCTTTAATAATGCCTAATGTGTAGGTGCGTTTATAGTGCTCGTGATACGGCAACATGTTAACGTGCCTTGGAGTATCTCATAAGATTTAGATCGGTAAGCTGTTTCACACCTAATTTTTTTTTAAATAACTTAGTACTGAACTCATCTGAATAGGTACATAAGTAAATACATCAGAATAATAAACATATACCTACACGATAGATAAAAAGCATGACTAACCTTGTCAACATTTCATTTAAGTAATTTTTTTATTAGCGGGAAATCGAACCAGGTATTTGGTTTATTTAACCTGTGAATAAAGTGACTAGGTGGAGACAAGCACAGTGGCAAAATAGTACGTTAAGTAGATAAGTTAGGTATTGAGATAAGTGTTGTAAATTATTAGGTATGTTTTACCATCCGCTGGCTGCGGGGCGGGCGAATACGGCGTTCGCGCGTACATTCACTCCTAGTCAGCTGATTGTAATTCAGTAATTCCACTGCTGATTTTATGTTTAAGTATTTTCATGATTTTTTTTATGAAATTATCGTTTCATTTAGCTGTACCATGATGGCGCGTGAATAAAGCTAATAAAACGTTTTAAAAAAAGAGGATTTTTTTTTCATCAGGATCGAATTTATTTGTGACCCATGATCAAAGGGATCCTTAGTGCTATCATCTGTCTTCGTTTTCAGGAGCGTTTCAGAAACACCCGGTAAATACCGGAAGTGAATTAAAATAAAGAACGAGCGAGCCTTACAGTAGTCGCATATTATGTGTAACATCTGACATCTCACCTTGGTCATAAACAACATTAACATTCTATCCTGAATAAAGCTACTTGTTTTTCTTTTTAATCAAATTCAATTGAGCAGCGACAGAAACTAACCTCAAAATTTATAGAAGCTGAATACTGAAATATTTATTCGAATAATTATTCATTATTTTTCACTTGCATTTTTTATCAATGATCTCCACTTTCTTCAGACACTTGTTATCAACAGTTAATACATTTAATAATATAGTTTACGCATATAACTTAGTTTACATAACAGTACACTTTACAACCGCGCGCGCTCATTGGTCAAATCAAATAGCGCGCGCTACGCCGGCCCCGGGTTCCTGTTACACACTTCCGTTCCTCTTCACGAAATCACTCCCACAGATTGCGGGAAAACGAGAGGAAAGATGTTAGACTTCAAAAAAGGGAAACAGATGATACGAAACACTTCGCTACCGCTACAGTTTGTGGATTTAATGCCGAAGATTTTTACGTGGTAGAGCCATGCTGCAGCTACAATAATAATAATATTTATTTGCATAAAACGTGGTAAATATACAGATGTGTTAGTTGTATTATGCACCTCATGTTTTGCTATTTTATTATAACATAGCATTCAAATTATATTTAAACCATGAGTACCTACTACCTACATTAAACAATAAAATGACCCATATGATATTAAATACTAACAAATTAAACATTTTTTTTTCAAATCATATTTTACACTGTCAGAATCACAGCACTAATGGTCAGAATACAATATCAGAATGTAGCTTACAATGTCAGAAATTCATTATTTTTTTCAACCAATGAAATAAATTCATATTATGTAGCGTTTTAATTTCGTCTGCTATTTTGTTGTATATACGCACACACATTGATAAACTGCTTTTACTCTATTTAGTCGATTTCGGAACTTCGCTTAGAATTAATCTATTCGGATTTCTTTTAAGCCTAGGATTAACATCAGACGACTTTTTAAATAAATTTGTATGCTACCTTCTATATCTTTTAAGCGATAAAGTTTTTCAGAATATCCAATACAATCAAATTCATAATATTTCTTACACATCAAACACAACAGTGAATTTTTAGCTTCAATAGTTTTTTTTATATTTATTGCAACTTACAAGTGATTACATCTTGTGGTCGCTATTTTTTGAATGACTTGTGTTTGCCATCATAGAAGTAGTTTAGCGTTATGTTAATATAAAATATTTTAAGATTTTTTCTTACGATAGATCAGTTTTGTACTGAATCTATATATTAGTTTTCAATCTTGCGTCTTATTTGTCTTTCTCTTTTAAAACGTGATAATGTCAAACAAATCTGTTTAAATTTACATACATACATAAACACTCACGCCCAGGGGTTAGGCAGAAACTATGGACTTACATTTGGCACGATCCTGACACACCTCTCTCGCTCCTTCCACATCCATATACCTACATACACATACATGCCCGTCGGTTAAGGGTAGTCTTAATTTGGCCCATTTTCAATATATCGCCAATTTGGTCGATAAACTTTCGCCTAGGGCGTCCCTTCCCGACTCTGCCGTTCACCACGTTCGTTGTCTAAATATGACTTTTGAAAATGAAGATAAAGCAGTTTTATTTTCCGACGTCTTTTATTTGAACCGTCGACACTGCAAGCATCGAGTGCGATTTCGGACGACGTAACCACTACGCCATTACAATGTTAAGTTCGACCGGCGAATTTGAGTACTATTTTTTTTTTATAGGAGAGGGGGCAAACGAGCATGCGGCTCACCTGATGGTAAGTGACTACCGCCGCCCATGAACAACCGCAACACCAGGGGAATTGCAGATGCATTGCCGGCCTTTTAAAAAGGAGTAGGCTCTTTTCTTGAAGGTCCCTAAGTCGTATCGGTCCGGAAAAATCGCTGATGGTAATCGATTCCACAAGGAAGTCGTGCGAGGAAGAAAACATCTTCTAAATCGTACAGTGGTGTTATTATTATTACTATGTTGTAATTGTTATCAAGTTCTCACTGCTTGTAATAAGAATGGTAATGTTGTCGTCGGATATTTTTCGATTCACCTTCAGTATTAAAATCAAAATATTTATTTAATGTTAATACGATAATTTTTACGTGGTAGATCCATGCTGCAGCTATATTAATAGTATAGTTGTGGCACGAATGGGTCGGCTCGACCGGGGAAGGACCACACTCTCACAGAATATCAGCGTAAAATAGCAGCTTAATGCTGCTGTGTTTCGTATGGTGAGTGTAGAGAACCGGCGACCCTTTTTACTGGAAAAGAGGCATTCTATCTTAGTCCTCACGGCTGACAACGCATCTGCATTTTAATTCGCAAACTAAGATGCAGATGTCTATGGGCCACAGCAACTACTTACCAACAGGTGGACTGTGTGCTCGTTTGTCTTCCTAACTCTATAAAAAATACATATTTAGTTTAGTTTTTTTTTAACTCACGTAGTTTCGGTTGAAGACGCTTGATTTGTGTTCATATATTACTATAAACTTATATTATTATTAAGTACTGTCATATTTTAGCTACTGTTTGTTATGTACATTCGTTGGTATGTTTATTAACAATTTATAAATTGTTTGAAACAGTTTAATTTCAATTACAGATAGAGATTAAGAGTTCACTGTCAGTAAACTGTCACTACTGAAAATATTTTAGCACTTGTTAAATTAATTTGTCATAATTACACGAATTTAATATACGCAGCTAATGTTTGCATGCTACACATCCGTCGATATACTCGGAGTATCTCTGATAGAATCCGTTATGATGATGTTTGAGGCAGAACCTTTTTAATATAAGTATATAATAATTGGTAAGCTAGTAGATATGTTTTATCTCCTAGCTTACCATTCTAAACAAATTAGGGTTTCTAACTTTATGTGAATATTAATATAAATATTTACAGTGGAAAATTATTCAGTATCTTCAAACATTCCTTTGTGAAACGAGTTTAAAAGACTACATCCATCCTACTTACTACTATCTACATCCATCCTCAACTACGAATCAAAATCATATACATTTTTTTAATATATATATTTGTTTATTCACTCCACAAATTTTACATCGTGACTTACACTATTTAAATAAAAACTACCATCAATTACATTGAGAGGTTAACGTCGGCAGCCGTACTAGTATAAACTGTGCCACGGCTGCCTGCGCCTTCCACTCTGGGAATTAAATAATAACCTAATAGGTAAGATCTTGTACAGCGTTTCTTAACAAATAATATTTAGAATCTTTTCAAGCTAAAATAAAAATTATAACATGCCGGTAGATACAAAACAAAATAGAATTTAAGCAAGAAAAATGTAGATGCGTTCCCCCGTGAGGACTAAGATAGAATGCCTCGTTTTCAGTAAAAGGGGTCTCCGGTTCACTACACTCATCATACGAAACAGAGCAGTGTTAAGCCGCTATTTTGCGCTGGTATTCTGTGAGAGCGTGTTCCTTCCCCGGTCGAGCCGACCCATTCGTGCTACAACTATACTACTGATATAGTTGCAGCATGGCTCTACTACATATAAAAGTTAGTTCTTAGTAATGTAGTTTAAAGATATTTAATTACGATAGTACGTAAGTATGTGTGGCGTATAAAGTAAGCACACGTGTTGTTACTTTAGCACTTTATTACATACACTGAGTTTAATTAGAAAATGGTGAATTATAAGTACTGCGAACCGCGTCACTTTCATTCTTATTTCTTCTCATAAGTAACACTTTATTCAACATATTAGAATTACAACGAGCATACAGCCCGCAAGCCTGTAATAATACCGAGTCCACATTAACATAAAATGAAAGCTAGGGCCAGAATATAACGACTCCTCATACTTCAAAATTCGGCAGCCGTTTCGCCTTCACCTTCTAGTAGCCAAAGAAGTTTTTTCTCCTAAATCGAGATACGAACGATAATAATAAAACAGTGAAATTACCTGGGTGCTGAAATGGTGTATGACCGCAATGCAAATAATGAAGTCCGCACAGCTGTCTTTAAGCCCGGCTTGCAGCAGGTCCAGCCTCACACAGTCCACAGTGCCCACTTCGCCGACGTAGCTCTTGCACTCGTTTAGCAGCCCACTGCTGCGTTCACCTGCAATCTATTTATCATGACCCTTGAGATAATACCGGTCAGCTGGTTTCAAGTTCTGATCCCAATCGATGCTAAAATTTTTGTCCAAAAGTTATGGTTAATTTTCTATTTTAAGTACATCTATCACTAATAAAAAACTAGATACACAATCCCATGCAAAAGTTCTCTAAAAACTGTCGCCAATTGTTTTGGCGTAATTCTAGTTGAAACAAATATACATTAATGTAAATTCAACCTTAAAAGCATTGCCTAAAGTTGTATTCACAAAGCTACATACAAATTAAAAGTGCACCCAAATGCTCGAGTGGGCACTCATTCGGTAAAAACATTTTTTGTCACTGATTATATCTCTAATTTTAATTTTATACATTATACCAGGGGTTCCCAAACTTTTAGACTAATGGAACACGCACCAAATCCCTTTTATTTTATGGAACCCCACATCAAATTATTACATATTATAAACATTGCAATTGATATTTTTTAATATTATTCTTGTTAACTACGTACCTCTACATAACAGAAATTGGTTCTTCTCATCTCATATTTTGAGCTATCTCAAAATAATATTACTTACCAGTGTGAAATTATTTAACAAGCAAAAATAATTAATTTCGCGGAACCCTAGTGACTTTTCTACGGAAGCCTTAAGTTCCGTGGAACCTACTTCAGGAATATCTGCATTACTAACGACTTGCCCCGACTTCGCCTGGGTGCGATTGTTTAATGTAGCGTCATTTACATTTAAGACAATCATCGGAGTTTTTCGATTTTCTAGAAAATATTCTTTATTTCTAACCGGCTTCGAAAAGAAGGAGGTACTCAATTAGACTGTATTTTTTTCTTCTATATGTGTGTTACCTCATAACTTTTTTCTACGTAAACCAATTTTGATGATTCTTAATTTATTTTAAAGCTGGTGCTTCTCATGTGGTCCCATATAAATTTGATCTGCCCAGTAGTTTTTGAGTTATCCTTAATAATGCGTATTTAATTGACTTGGACTACATTGATAATGTTCTCATTATATTTATATTGAAGTCGGTTGTACAAAATTTTTAATTTTACCACTGATACCAGATAAATATATCCCAGATCACTCCTTCCATTGCTCTCTATCTGTTTGTTTAATCGCATTCGGTTAGGCCATTTCGAAGATTAGGCCAAACAGACAGACCAAAATTTTAAAATGGTTATTCAGTCTTAATAGCATGCAAATAACCCATGAACTTAAAAAAATGTTAGTTATTTTTATATTACAGACAGACATTTCAATTTAATTTATACGGATACAGAGTATAGATTGAAATGACACGCAAACTTACAGTCCATCTTAAAGGAAGTGGTCATCTGCAACCAACTACAAGTAAAGAAGGCTGCAGATACGTTGTCAAAGCTAAGAACTAAGGCAAAATGCTTCACAGCCTGTAAATATAGCGACTAAAAATAAAAAATAAACGCTTGCCAAGCGTGGAAACTATGGCAAATATCCCTCCCTACGAGGCAAACTACAGGGAGGGCCTATGATCAGCGGTGGACTATAGTAGGCTGCAACGGTAACAGATACGTCCATACCCAGGCTGGCGCAACTTCTATAGTAAAAATTATATGTACTACAGGGGTCAAATTTTAATGACGGTTATCTCTTCTTTCTACTTTTCGTAATATGTCTATTAACGACATTGTCAAATCAAATAGGTTCGAATGTCAAATCAAACAATTACATTTGTATATATTTTATTTATTAAGATTACTTTTAATTTTGCTATAGGAGCCGTTGTTCATTTACATAATTGTTAAAAAATTAAATATGCATTATAAAACTTTCCAATTAAATGGTGCAAGAAGAGGAAAAAATGATAACAAGAAAAGGCTACTCGTAGCAATATTTCCATTAGATGATGAAAGGTATGTGGTGATTTCAACTTTAATTGTAATATGATATTTAACGCCAGTACATTTTTGGACTAACCATCTACGTAGGACAGGTTTATATAGTGTACGATTGTGTGGAAAATACAAACACACTATTTTCTAAATCTGATAGTTCAATGGGATGGCAATCCGAAACTAACTATACTTAGAAACTACATTGTCAATTGTGACTGCTAACATTCTATTTGTTCAATAAAATGAGATTTTATTTATATTATTTTTTTCAAATGCAAGCAATGGGTGAAATAGCTGGCACATGCACCAATTGAAAAGATTCACATGTTAAAACATAACATATTTGTGGCAAACATTGCATTTGAACTCAACTATAACGAACTGTTATCTCATCAGTGGACTTAATTTAAACATCCACAATTATGTGTATGTTAATTAGGTTTCATTTACATGTAGCAAAAGATAATATCCGTCTAAAGTCACATTTTGGCAAGAACTAGATTATATAACTAAATCATTATTTTATTCATCTACAAATATTAGCTATAGCGAGCACTTATTTTAAAAGCGACAATTAGTAAACGATCTTTGCGAGTAGCATTTACATAGGTACCTCTGTAAAGAAGCCTAGCGATTTGTACATAGTATTTGTTACACTTAAAAGCAATTTAATCCAATCAGTGTAAAAAAACCCATTATTTTTAACCTTAAAAAAACAAACGTTGAAAACAAGCATCCAGTCGCAGACTATTTATTTTACAGCATAGCAATACTTGTTCAGTGTGCCTAGTGCGAGTTTTTTTACGCGCTCGATAGCGAGAAAGTTAACTACAATTTGTATGGAATAAAATCAGCGCCAACTAGTGGCAATAATCGGAATCACAGTTCATGAGTGCGAGTTTATTACGTCGTCGATATCGACCATCGAGCATTCACTCGCATTCGACAGCGAGAACGTAAACGCACGTGATTGGTTGTTTCAAGAATTTTGCGAGTGCGAGTTCCAATTTTGATCTAACATAAATAAAGTTTACGCGGTCGATATCGAAAAAGTTTTCACCTAAATTTTGACAGTGAGAAAGCATAGTGAGAACGATTGTTGAAGGTTTAATTTTATTTCGGTTTGTGTGAACAATATTTAATTATGGCAGGACGTTTTTTTTCGCATGGAGGATGTTTACAGCCGCTAAGGCACAAGATGAGCGCAATTATAAAGCCAATGTTGAAAGAAGAACTCGTGCATCTTTGAACCTTTGTTACACCTCACGGGGAGGCACTTTAAAGATAGATATCGCATTTCCAAGAAAGTCTTCAAGTTTTTGTGTAAAGAGCTAAGGAGTTTGACAAATCTTAGGTCCTCTCAACGCGTTTCCTTGGAACATAAAGTATGTATCGATCATTAAAGTATTCACATTTTTGCAACTCAAGTTTAAAACAAGTGCAAGTTTAAATATAAGTTTGTTCTCTTTTTAATTGCAGGTGCTCACTGCTCTATTCTTTTTTGCAACTGGATCCTACCAAATGCCAGTTGGGGTTACAAAGCACACGTCTCAAATAATGTGTAGTGTGTACATAGAAGAAGTTACCCAGCGCTGACACACAAAAATATAATAAATAAATATATTCGGTTCCCTGATACTCCAGCTGCTAGACAAGCAGTTAGTCAACGATAATAAATATATGCTTATTTTTAAACAACCTAATGCAAATTAATCATTAGATTCAGTTAATATTTATTTTAAAATTCAGTTTTTACAGAAAATATGAAATCCCTGGAGTGGTAGGTTGTATTGATGGAAGTCAATTTAAAATAGTTGCCCCACCAAAAGAAGAGGAACATTTGTATTATAGTTGTTGTCGGCGCCGTTACGACAGCACCGACGGTGTTTGCGGGGAGTATGTGAAGTGCGGGGGGTTTCTCACCACCGCGCCTAAGACCGGCACTTGCCGATAGCTCGCGACCCGATCGCCACCAAATATTTTGTATTTTCATTCCTTTTAAATATACAATTTGCCTATCGTGTGAGTCGCCTATTTTATTCATGTTCCCTAATTGAACAGTTGTAACTACCATACTGCACTACCATTCACTTAATGTTCAAATGGTAAATATTAAGTTTTTTTATTTTTCCTTGGTTAAAAAGGGGTAGAAAATAAACAAAATGTCTTCTTTTCAGGTATGTGATGATGAATATAGAATTTTAAATGTGAATTCCAAGTTTGGAGGTGCTAATCATGAATCCTTTATATGGGAAAACAGTAATTTAAACACATACATGCAATCTTTGCACCAAAATGGAGAAATTGTCTGGCTTTTAGGTAATATATCCACAGTATAACTTATTGGGATGTTTTGAGTTATATGAAGTATTTTTAAGTAAAACATTACTAAATAATTTCTATCTATATTATTGACAATAACATGTATATTTTAACTCTAGGAGATTCTGGATATCCCCAACGCCCATGGCTTATGACACCATTTTTAGACACTGAGTCCAATAATTATAATGAAAAACACATGAGAGCTCAAGTTGTTATTGAGAACACATTTTCAAGGCTGAAAAATCGATGACGATGTCTGCACAAGAATAGAGTTTTGCACTACAAGCCCGTAAAATGTGCACACATTATTTTAGCATGCTCTGTGTTACATAATATAATTATTAATTTTGGTGTTGAGGATACAGAGGAAAATATAGGTAGGTATCTTAATTTTAAATTGAATTACTATAATATATTAAGCTAACTTATAAACAGTAAACTTATTAATTATGATTTATTTTTAGGTCTGCAATTTGAAAGAATGGTGGAATCTGATCAAATAAGTTACACAGAAAGAGAACCTACCTCTGATTTAATTCAAGGTAGAATATTAAGAGATCAATTAGCAAGAAGGTTACTATAGGGATTAAATAAATAAATTTGAATAAGCTTAAATCTTTCTTTTATTTATAACCAGCCTTAAATTTTATCACAAATTTAATTAAATAATTACAATTACAACTTAATACAATAATTTAATAATTACAAGAACATTGAAACAGAACAGAAAAGTAATCTAAATTATTTTGTAGAGCCATGCTACAGCTATAATAGTAGTATAGTTGTAGCACGAATAGGTCGGCTCGACCGGGGAAGGACCACGCTCTCACAGAATACCAGCGTAAAATAGCAGCCTAACACTGCTGTGTTTCATATGGTGAGTGTAGAGAACCGGAGTCCCTTGTGCTGCCTGCTCTGTGTGTGCTGGCCTCACTCGTCTTCGAGGTGATCCTCGAGTACGAATTGGTCTTGCACGGCAAGATGTAGTTTGCCCCGACAAAGCAGGCCCTGGTTGACTTTCTTGGCAACATGAGGTTGTGTTGATTGCCCTGGGTCGTTCCAAGATTGAGAACCTTAAATATGAAAAATATAAATGAAACTTTCAACAAAATCAATATACCTAGTAGTTGTGTACAAGAACCAAAAAGACAAACAAGTTGGCTTTTTTTTTGAAGCAAATACATACATAAACACTCACGCCTGTCACCCAGAGGGGTAGGCAGAGACTACGGACTTCAATGTTTCATAGAATTAGAGAACCAAAACCCAGTTTAAACCAAAATATATAAAAATAAATAATTATTTAGACGTACCTTCTTCCATTTCTCAGTACTTTTTGTATCACCACTACCATCACTATTCAAAAATTGAGCTAATTCCTCCCAGTTTTTTATACAAGCCATCCTACCTCTTGCATTATTGGATGGTTTGCTGAGATCTCCATGCCTAAAACCAATAAACTTAGTTACAAAATATACAACAACATATTAATATGTTCCCTAAACACTAAATAAATTAAATTCAACTTACTGCTCCATAATTGTCACCATCTAATCGAATTGGGACGAACTAGTCTTCATATTTTTTTACTTATAATTATAATTTAATATTTTCAATAATCGTAAGTTCACAACAAACAAACTGTCAAAGTATATGAAAGATGCTATAATAACCACAACTTTGATAGACAGCTTCTAATATTAAGACGACTAAGTAACTATGTCATCCTAAACTTGGTTAGTTTATTTCACGACGCTAACGTGTTACCAACATAAGAGAAGGAACGAACGCGATTCACGGTGAGTAAACGCGAATCGAAAGGTTAGCTTCGATTGTAACACACACTCGCTTGTCTTCACTTGTCGATAGGTATGGCGTTAACTCGGTTAACGCGATGGTGAAGTCATTCGAATTATTTTGTGGAACTCGCACTAGGCACACAGTGCGGGAAGTAAGCCTCGGTCCTGCAGTGCCGCAGCCAAACGCTTAGCCACTGCGCTACGGAGTCGTCATTTATTTTTTACTTAATTAATTACTAGTATAATAACTAGTGTGTTTCTATACATATTTTTGTATCTAATAATTGTAGAGATATAATTACAAATTACTGTGTGTAAAATACACTGATTTCTTATCCTCATCGGCATTTTTACTCAATCCCCACGTTAAAAATTTTATTTCTCATAAATAATTTAGTATAGGGATCCCACTTTTATTGTGTTAAAAAATCGATGAACAACATATCGATAAAGGTTATATCGATAAAATTATTCGACTATATACATTTACCCCACTATTGTAATTAGTCAATGTTGTCAGCACTGTTTGTCAAAACTAAATATCATATCTTGATGTTGGTAGAGTAGCTTGACGTACTTTCATGTATTTATTTTTACTATGGAAGTCCCGCCTCTTAAACGTAGTGATTATATTCTCTTTGTCCATACCTGGAGAATGTCGGTGCGGTGCAGTAGGTTCTTGCCATTACCAGCTCCAAGGTCGAGGAGCACAGCACCACTTGGCACCTGGCGTAGAAACTGCAGCACGCGTGGCCAAGTGGAATGCCGTGTGCTGCTGAAGTGCTCCGCGATACGCTCGTACACCTGCATCACAGCTGTTTGTTTCCTTATGCCCATTTTGTAGCACAAATGGGTTGGTGGCTTTTTAACGTGGTAGAGCCACGCTGCAGGTAAATTATGGTTGCAGTACGAATAGATCGACTGGACCGATGTAGGCCCACGGTCTCACAGAATACCAGCGTAAAACAGCATCATAACGCTGCTGTGTTTCGTATGGTGAGTGTAGAGAACCGGAGCCCCTTTTTTACTGGAAACGAGGCATTCCATCTTAGTCGGTCTCACGGGTGACAACGCATCTGCATTTTGATTCGTAATCGAGGATAGATATGGATGTCTATGCGCCACAGCATCCACTTACCATCAGGCGGACTATTTGCTCGTTTGTCACCCTAATTCTAAAAGAAAAAGTTACCAATAATAATATACTACGAAAGGAACTTCGTTCCAACCGAGTGTTCCACGACACTCATGCATGTTTTTTCCCCTCTGTCGCCTCTTACGACACCCATGGGACGATATGGGATAGTGGATATTCTTACACCGCCAGAAAAATTTCTAAAAAAAACATGTGTACAGTTCACACGCGGTAGAAGTAAAACCTTCGGAAAACTAAACTTTGACAGAATAAACGAATGCACAGTATCAGAGTAGGATAATTGTAGGGTTCTTCGTAGTACGCAGGCGCATACACACGTACCAACACACGTACAAACAAACACACACACGTGAAATGCTCTGACTAGGTAAGTATTAGTTGCGAGTAAAATTGCTTTGTAATAGCGCCATCTACTTCATTCTATAAGTAAAATCATTTTATCGAACAAAAATTGTTACTCTCTCAAGGTGGTACGTAAAATAGGCCCTAGATGGCCTCAACACAACGAATTAAATATAAATCGGTAAGTTACGAAATAGTGGATCGTCATCATCATCATCATCATCATCATCATCATTACAGCCCTTCACAAGTCCACTGCTGAACATAGGCCTCCCCCAAGGAATGCCACAAAGCACGGTCCTGAGCCACCTGCATCCATCGACTTCCTGCATACCAGGTCGCCACTCCATCTAGTAGGGGGAAGCTCTCCACTTCGCCTGCCGGTACGAGGCTGCCACTCGAGAACCTTTCTTCCCCATCGGTTGTCGGATCTTCGAGCTATATGGCCGACCCATTGCCACTTCAGCTTACTAATCCATTGGGCTATGTCAGTCCCTCTGGTTCTAATGCGGATATCCTCAATTCTAAGTTAATCTCGCAGAGAAACTACGAGCATAGGCCTCTCCATAGCTCGCTGAGCGACCTTGAACTTCCTCATCCAGCCAGCAGTAATAATTGTATTCAATATGGTGAATTTTATTTACTTTTAAAAGTTATATTAACCACCTTTAAAGCACCAAACAAAGAGGAGACCAAGTTAATAGGAAACACTGTATACAGTATTCTATCTCATTCTCTCGCAGGCTAAATCCTATAGATGTATATTATGTTTGTCTGTTTTTAGTGTCGCTTTTTCGTTTCACCTAGTTTCGAATCACGATTCTAAGGAAGTTTTCCTTTTTAAAAACAAAAAATTAAATCCATGCAAACACTCCATGGATATGTTTCCAACAAATAATCTGACCTGGTGAACATGCAACTCCTCCAGGTTGGAAGCCACAGCGTCGTCCAACTCCTCGGTCGAGTTCGAAGCATCGCACAGCGTCTTATATGGGCAATCACATTTCCCACTTCTTGTCCATCGAAACGTAAGAGATATCCTTGTCTGTCTGTTCGTAGTGTCGCTTGTGATCACTTTGACACGCTGGTTGCCCTGTAACGTGTATTCGATGATGGGGTCCCAGGTTCGAGGCTGTATGCCATGTTGCCAATCGTATCTGACGAGTTTATTATGCATTCATACATCTGTTATAGAACTATCAAAAGAATGAATGTGGAAAGCACAGGTGCACTCTGTCTCACGTCTGTTAACTCGTGCACTATAATCTCATCCTGTGCAGATGCCTAACGCTATTGAAACGGGCCGCCATAACAGAAATTCGGTCTGGAGAGCCTTACATTATTACATTTCAACTGGGCCCATATTGAGTTGCATATAACTCCAGGTTAAATTTTATATTTACTAATGTATATACAACCATATTATTATATGTTTTGCCGTGTAGTGGCGGCTTAATAAAATTTATCACACCATTTTGTCCTTTTAGGTATCATAAGAAGCATCTTTAGGAACAGACAAAGGCTTTCAATAGATTTTATGTCGTGAAATACCCAAACTGGTGACAAGCCGCAGCACTGTGATCACCAGTCTGGCTGCCAAGCATGATGATTAAGGCCCCCCTGCAACTTAAGACGCCAAAGTACAGCAGTGAACTTTTTAACAGTTGATGAAGAATGCATGATACGATAAGGCTTTGTTAGCACAGTAATTAAGTAGCGCTCCAGGTTTCGGGTTCAAATCACACTTGGAACAAGTTTTTCGTGTGGCCTACAAATAATTGCTCCAAGTCTATCTATGTTATTTATGTATGTAAAACGCCTCCACGGTATTGGAGAGGTTGTTAGAGGCAGGGTAACATTCTTTAAAAAAATATTATGTGTACATACCTTGCTTCCCCCTGCATGACAAGCATCGACCTTGCGGGTATGATAATGGGTAAACTTTTCCCACTGTGATGCTTCCAATCCATTACTACTGAGGAACCTAGTGACAGCGACAGTATCGTGGGCCCAAATGGACTATGCTTGTCCACGTGAGATGGAATACCTAGGATTTTAAAACAAATTAGGACAACATTATGTGTTGTTGCCTTTAAGATTTAGAAGTTTGTTCTTTTAACTAAACACACCAAAATGAATGTTTGACATCATTGCATATCCCTTATTTTAATGTAAAGTCAATACCTTCATCTCCAAAACATTATTAAATCGTTTTTTTATATTTGAGAGAATTGTATGATGCCATCGCGGACCACTTAAGGTGCCTCCATCGTATGACAATGGTTAAGAACCACTGTTATATACACACTGATATATATATACCATAAATGAACTTATGTAGTATATATAACATATCATTTACCTTGCCCAGGCATATACTTGTTCACAGTCAGTTGGTCAGGAGGATCTAAATCAATTCCATAACTTTTTAATCTGGTCCACAAAATGTCACATTCCTTTGGTATCTTGTCTGGCAATGGAGAATTAAGATCAACATCATTGCTACCATACCGGAATTCATAACCAAAATGTTTCACTTGTCGGTTCTTCAAGCTTGAATTGGTTTCCTTGAAATTGAAAAGATCTACAAATGCCTTCTCTTCATCTATATTTATAAAATCTTCTACCAAAAGTAGTCCTTCAGGATTACTATATGGGCATAAAACCTCCGTGTCTGGTACTAAAACCAAGAAATCAAAAAATGTTATAGGTATTTCTTTCCGTTCATTTGCTAAAAATAATAACATGTAATATGATTTCAAAATATGAAGAGAAAATTACGATTTTTTTTTTATAGGATAGGGTGACAAACGAACACAGTGATCTCACCGGATGGTAAGTGGTTACTGTGGCACATAGACATCCACATCTATCCTCGTTTGCCGAATCAAAATGCAGATGCATTGTCACCCGTGAGGACTAAGATGGAATGCCTCTTTTCCAGTAAAAAGGGTCTCCAGTTCTCTACACTGACTAGATAAAACACAGCATGGTTAAGCTGCTATTTTACGCTAGTATTCTGTGAGACAGTGGTCTGCTGGTATTCTGTGAGAGCGTGATCTGCTGGTATTCTGTGAGAACGTGGTCCAATTTATTTAATGTTGAATATTGGTTTTCTATGGAATGAGGCATGGACACTGACAGACATCAGGTTTTATTTATAATTAATAGGAAACTCTGGCACTTGAAACTCTGTATGTAGTATTTCCTTTTCAGATTGGCGTTTGATATCTTTAAAGTATGGAAATGCTGAGGATAGGATGACATGCCATCTAATGAAGATATTTTAAGGCTAAATAGTTATTTACTGTAAGAAGGAAAAAAATGTTCACATATTATGGTATATTATTTTATTTTATTAAGGGTTACCAACAAGACATACACTATTTGTTATGTTACAATACTCATGTTCGCGCCAAACGCTAATTTCAAGAATTGACGCCAGGGGGCGCTCAGCGCGGTGATTTACGTTCGCGCGAGATCGGGTTGGTTTCGAGCGGGGCGCGTCGGAAGTGTTAATGCAGCGCAGTGACTAGAACGGTGTGGTCACGTACCGAATAACCTCTAAATTAGTGTCGGTTTTTGTTAGCAAGTTTTTATGCACTGACTAGGAGTTTGTTGAGTCTAGAAAAATAGATTGTCTGCGTGAACGCCGGGTCGGTTAATTGTTTTGGAAGTGAATATTGATTGCGATCAACGTCCGAATTTTCGACGATAATTTTCAACAACGCGCATAATTTTCTATCGAAGAGTTGTGTCTCTTTAAAACCGCCTCGAATGGAGTGTCTGTTTGAGCGTACGTGACACGAGGCCTTATTTGAGTTTTGAGCGATTAAAGTAACTGATTACCAATAATTGTTGCGCGACGGACGGCTTGTGTTGAGTTTGAATTATTAACTTAACTTGATTGACATTAATTTGATTCGACGATTTGCCTCGTGGCATTTTGATATCGTGCGAGTGAACCCGGAACATTGAATATTTAACTTTGATCGACTGTTCGTTACTTGTGTCAAGTGTCACGTGTTTGATTTCGATGAACGTTGAATTGGTTGACTTTGAAGTTAATTATATGTACAATAAAGTTGATAGACTGAAATAGTGAAGTGACGACAAACATGAGTTCAATTGGGGAACGCCTTTCTGGAGGGATCTCACATTTGGAGAAAATCAGCGCCTGAGGGTCTGCAGTCCGACTTCACCGGGGAGATCAGGTTTCACATGGTACACACTACTCCAAACTACTTACATACACATACTTAACGCCTGACCGCGCCTTGGTGTCGGTTCTCGATTCGGAACCAGGTAAGTCGTTATTAATTACCTAGCCTTACATCTATTGTGTAGGTTATTTGTCCATAGGCATTTTAAGCCCCACCCTTAGTTGTCAGTCGAATCTACAGCTGTATGGGCCCCTGTATGGTCGACCTTTGTCTGGGCAACTAGGGGCGTGTACAACTCATATTCTAGGATTAAAAACTAAATATTTTCTTAATTATAGGTTACTACAGCATGCAACGCGGGCGAACTAATTTTACATATTTATAAACAATTTATAATCAAAATATGATAATAATGAAATAATATAATTATAATTAAATTACAAAATTCATGGTTGTAGCATGAATAGGTCAGCTCAACTGGGGAAGGATCACACTCTCACAGAATACTAGTGTGAAATAGCAACCCAATGCTTCTGTGTTTATATGGTGAGTGTAGAGAACCGGAGATCCTTTTTACCGGAAACGAGTCATTACATCTTAATCCTCAGGAGTGACAGCGCATCTGCATTTTGATTTTTCATTGAGGATAAATGTAGATGTGTATGGGCCACAGCAGCCACTTACCGTCAAGTTGAGTGTGTGTTCGTTTCTCACTCTTATTCTATAAAATAATATAATAATCTGCACATATAATAAATTAAAGTTGATTGACATTGTTGGAAGTTGTTAAAGTATAAAAAGGGGAAACTGATTCCAGCTCCAAATTGCATTGTTAGCAGATAAAATAGTATTTTATTAGTTCAATATTTTCTTATTGTCAATACAAACACTTGCATTTATAACTACAACATAGACATGTGTCAATTGTGGAGGATTTGTTTCATTTGACCTGAGTTGCATCAAAGTATTGATGATTGGAATTACATTTTTTGTAAGTTCTGAATGAAGTGAATTGGCTGGATCTACGACCAAAGTATAGTAATGTTTGACGACCGACATTAACGACCGGGTCTCGCAGATCACAGAGTACTGAAACTCGAAATAATCCATTTGAATAATTGACCTGAATGACCCGGATTGTAAGACGAATCAATACTTGAATGATCGAGCTATTAGAAATGAATGAATGATCAATACTTACCACTATCAACATAGCACATATACAAAAAGGTTCCATTATTGAAGCAGTTTTTTCCATTATATTCATTGAAAAACACTGAAGCACTTTCTTTAGTATCAAATACCAAGAAGGAGTATGATTCACCCTTCTCTGCTATGAACTTCCTTAGTTTTATCGCAGGTAAGTAATTGCAAAGATTTAGAATGTCATCCTTTACTAATCCAGTAGCTTGGCCAACATTGCAAAGAACAAGATTCTGAAAATATAAAAATCAGTAAAGCTGGGTGAAGTGGCTTCTGCAGTGCTGGAGCAGTTGTCTGAAGTTGTTGAATAAAATATATTTTTTGGCGCAAAACATCAAACCAGTTTTCCCCACTCAACTTCACTTACTTAAAAAAAAGTATGTTTAAAATACAAGTTTTCCCGCCAACCCCTTCAGAGGATTGCCTTCCATATCCTTGTCCCTTCTTTTCTTCACCCTTCATACAGCAGAATTTTAAGAAATGTTTACCAGTGTGGTATTAATAAAAAAGGTTTTCTTTCTCAGGAACTTACAGGGTTCAGCACCCCTTTACACTTTTTTCTAGTTTAGACATCTTTTCATTAAATACTTCCCCCATATATTGGTTCGTAAGGGGGTATATCCCATAGTAGTCATGCTTGGCAGGCAATTTGACAACCACAGTTTATTTTTTAGTTGTTGTTAAGAAGACTTGCTGCCCATCACCTAGTTTGTTTCCCTCTGTCGCCTTTTACAACACACACAATAATTATTCCACTACAAGGTCGAGAAAAACCTTAATTAAAGCACAATGACTTTGATGGGCCTCTTATATAGACAAGTGTATCACCAATAAAGGATTATGAAGGTTTTATTATGACAAACATACCTCAAATAATCGCCTATAACTGATTGTGTCGTATTTTTTTCTGGTTATGATACAATAAATATACAGGTGGTAAAATTAAAAATTTTGTACAACGGACTTCAATATAAATACAATGAGCACATCATCAATGTAGTCAAAGTCAATTAAATATGTATTATTAAAGATTACTCAAAAACTACTGGTCAGATCTTGTTCAAATTTATATCTGACCACATGAGAAACACCAGCTTTCAAATAAAAAAAATATAATCAAAATCATCGGTTCACCTAGAAAACAGTTCTGAGGTAACACATAAAATACTATTTGTATTGAAAACATCCTCCTTTTTAGAAGTCTGTTGAAAATGATGGATATTTCTTTTATGAAATGTGTTATGCCGCATCTCCACCAAAGAAAAGTTACCAGCTTTTGTGTTGTCAACACGTGTTGGCGACAAAAGTTTCTATAATTACCTAGTGTTGGCAACAAAACTTAACAATGTCGGGAACCGTGTTTCCATTTTCGGCGGTAACATCAAAGGAATACGCTTGTTACAAACATTTGTTCGCTCAGTGGAGAAGCTTGTTGGAAACATTAGTTGGGTTGATAACATGTCTGTCACGTGAACAAATAAGTTAATGGACACATTAATTAATTTATATTGTTCAAAAATAGTTTATGGGTTGTGTTTAATGAAAATTATAAAGGTAAAAAAAAAGGATGCGTGGAAAAAAATGGTGCTATGGTATCCCCATAGTACCACTTTTTCTAGAAAATTTTCACTAGAAATTCAAAGGAAAATGAAAAATTTGATGGGACAAATAATAGTACAAGAACAGAAGAATCACACTATCATAGCAAACTTGCAAGTTTAAACCTAGTTACTAATGTTCATAATACTTTGTTTAGTAGAAAAAATTACAAATACTGAGGCTGCCTACATAATATCGTCACTTGAAGACATATTATAGCCAACAAAACTTTGGTGGAGACAGCTAGTTGTCAACTGAAATGTTTCTCAAATTGTTGGCGACTAGGTTCAGTTCGGTGTAGAAACAACAGAATCAAAAGTTGGTGACTTTTGTCGAGTTGCAAACAATTGGAAACATAAAAGTTGCCAACAATTTTGTTGGATACCTTCATACTTACCTACCTATTATCTATAATTAGTAGTGAGTGATACAAATTGTATAAAGATACTATTGTATCTATTGTACATTAGATATTTAAATTTAATATATAACGTGGTAGAGCCATGCTGCAGCTATTAGTAGTATAGTTGTAGCACAAATGGGTCGGTTCAAACAGGTAAGTACCACACTCTCACAGAATACCAACGTGAAATAGCAGCTTAACGCTTCTGTGCTTTGATTGGTGAGTGTAGAGAACCGGAGACCTTTCTTACTGGAAACGAGGCACTCCATCGTAGTCCTCATGGGTGAAAATGCATCTGCATTTTGATTCGTAATCGAAGATTGATGTACATATTTATGGGCCACAGCAACCGCTTACCATCATGTGGACTGTGTGCTCGTTTGTCATACTTATCATATAAAAAAATCTATATATCAGGCAACAGACTTAACTAGATACTGTTCTAGTACAGCATCACTTTACAGAACATCTAACATTGAATGTGATGAAATAATATTAACATAAAATATCTATAGTTATGATACACTGCACTGATTCAAAATTAAAACATACTATGAGCATGTTTAGCAATATGAGATAACATAATAATAATAATAGAGCCTTTATATCCCGAAACAAATAATCCTATCTTATTCAATTTATTATAATATGTCTCTGAGATCGGTGTGCCTCTTGGCAAAGGGCTCCTCTGACGATTTCCATTGTTGCCTATCTTTTGCAACTCTTCTCCAGTTATAACCCACTGTTCATTTTATTTCGTCCTCTCATCTTTTGCTTTGTCGACCTCTATTTTGTTTCCCATTTCTGGGGTACCTTTCTAGGGTGGGAGATAAAATATTTAAGTAAATAGTTATGGATAGGATTTAGAATCATTTGGCAGGAATTCAGGGGAGTAAGGTGTTTTATTTGGTAGAGGTTTGGTCCCCAGTTATAACAATACCACTTGCATTAAAAGGTAATGGACTGCTTTTGGGGAAAAACAAAAACTATTATAACCTAAATAATACCATAGAAAAACGAATGCACTATTACTGTGAAAGCTGGATAGCATACAGAATTTTCTGTGAGTGCGACAAGGGCGAAATACCATGTCAATCACATTATTATACTTCTATGGTATTTTTATTCTTCTGTGGTCTATACTCTCTATCAAGTGTCAAATCATAATGTACTAATTTTTATGCAATCTACCGTTGGTTGCTCTTATTCCATGAATATATGCTCTCCAGTGTATTACTGTAGCAGAAATACTTGAGCACCCAGAAATACTTTCAGTTGTAATAGGTTAGAAGGTTGTGGCGGAAGCAAAGCTTCTTGGCTATATTTTTTACCACCCAGAAATACTTGAGCACTCACAAATACTTTCAGTTTTCGTGGTTATTTTTTACGACCCTGAAATACATGAGCACTGAAATTCTAACCGTTTTGATAGGAGACAACACAGCCCCCCCGCCCCCTCCCACCTCCGTCCAGAAATGATAGATGTTATCATATATATATATATATATATATGAAATATATAAAACCATATCAGATATTAGAATCCAAGACATAAATACGATTCGGGATAGGGCTAGTGATGTTACCCAAGTCTACCTATAATTCAGTTATCCTACTATAAAGTTAATCTAAAATACTAAAAACACTTACAGGTCCAGGCATATTTGAACAACTGATACCTTTTGATTTCAACCTTGCTGCAAATCTCTTGCATTTACGATCAACTTTTTTATCTTCAGTCATTATTTTTCACCAACCCGCTTTATGACAGTATATTGTAATTATTTTTCCTAGTGAAGTTCAAACAGGTATGTTTTATGCTGTGATTGTGATTTGTGATCATAGAACACATATAACCCTAAAGGTTGTGACTTCCTTATATATTACTATACTCTTTGGGTTGTGATTTTGTAATTGATGTTTTGACTTTTGACTTGTGAACTTCTGATGTTGACTGGTTTTACGGCTCTGGGTTCTAACCCTTCTAAAATCCCCTAAGTTGAAACAAAATCCCCTAAATCAAATATCAGACGTCTGTAAATTTTTCGAATTCGTTTTTATTAATAAAAAGTAAAAAGATTTTTTGTTAATATTAATACATAATATGTTCAATATAAAATGTATTTTATAATGATTAAAAATAAATTAAACTCTTATTGTTTTGTTAGTTTATTAAATCTTTTATCCTTAAAAAAAACCCATTGTTTAGTACAGACGATAGTAAAAAATAGATATTTATAAGAAACTTTATATTTTAACGGTGGTAGAGCCACGTGGCAGCCTTTGCTGTTGCACGTATGAACCGGCTCAAGCCGGGTTGGCACCACGACCTCACAGAATACCAGCGTGAAGTGGAAGCTCTGCTTCTGCGTTTCGTCTGATGAGTACAGGTGGCCGGATGCTCAATTGCCGCCCCCCCCCACCCCCTCCCATCAACATGGTACCATCTCGAGACGGAGAAGCCGGCCTTGCTCTTTTATCCTCTCCGGCTGATACTACGTATCTCTCCTTCCCGGGGTACAAATTGGAACACTCCTTTGTGCCTTGGGCTGGATTTTGCGTCTGTCCATTCCTTGGCTACGCGTAACCAGCGACGACCATCCGCGAGTCTACGGGTGCCTCTATAGGTCCCGTAGCGGTAATGCCGAAACAGACCGACTCATCAACCACGTCCAAATGACTACAGATTCCTTGCTACAACAGGTTCCTTCCGCAGAGATCGTGATCCTTGGCGATTTTAACACCCAACACGCCGAATGGCTTCGGTTTACGTTTAACCAACCGCCTACGCGGATTCCAGATGTGGAGGATCATGCACCTTCTCTGTTGGACCTTCTGCTGACCTCTCATCCGGACATATATCAGATCTCGACGCCTCTCTTGGCTCCTCGGACCATTGACTAGTCCGGAGTATGTGCCACTCACGCTGAAATAGCACTTGATTTCTGCAGGCTGCCGTCGTATTTGATACTATAGGTCGGCCGATTGGGAATGGATAGTCTTTCTTTGCAATCTACCCTTGGGGGTGGGTTTACTTCTCGCCGGACGATTCCAACGTTATTGCTAATTTTGTTACTGATGTGGTACTTCAGGGTATGGAACTTTTTATTCCTTTCTCTGTGATGCCCATCAGAGGCAGATCTCAGCCATGATTTAGTCGCTCCTGTAAAATAGCATCACGCTACAAGCAGGATCATGCTACCGGGCCTGGGCTGACGCATCGACGTTCCGGGATGTAACCAGTGCTTACATCCCGGAACGTCGAATCGTTGTTTACATCCCCTTAAAAAGAAGTGAAATTCCGCCTCTAGGTCCTTCAAAAGAGTAATTGCCAAGGCAAAGTCAGATCACATAGGCAGAATTGGCGAGAAACTAATTCGCCTTCCTTCGGGAACCCGTGCATTCTGATTTCTCGCCAAGGCTGTCCAAGGGAACTTCTGTCAGCCATCTCTTCCATCTCAGCACAGCGAGGACGACGCACTGGCCCATGCTACAAAGCAGAAAGCCGATCTGCAGAGCTCTTTCTTTGCGTCCAACTCTACTCTCGATGACGGAGGAAACACACCACCGACCATTCCGCAGTGTGAGTGCTCCATGCCGGATGTGCGGTTCTCACAGCGTTCGGTTAACAAAGCGTTCCTCTCCCTGGACATCCACAAGTCGAGTGGTCTGATGGAATCCACCAATTGTGTTGAGGACGTGTGCTCCGGAGTTGGCACCGGTTCTAACGCGTCTTTTCCAGTACTCCTACTCCCTAGGCGTAGTCCCGAAATCATGGAAGACGGCTTTTGTCCACTCGATCCCTAAAAAGGGCGTTCAGTATGATAGAATAGTTTACAAATTACTTACTCTAATAATTTTCATTTTATGATTTTTGTTGTTTAATAATTTATTGTTTCTTTTACTATTGCTTTAATTCAGAATTTACTGAATCTAAGATAAAGTTTTTTCATATAATATAACGGGAAACACTCACATGGCATATTAAATTTACAACCTTTAATACGTTTAAGTATTTCATTGGCAACATTGACAATATTTATTTCAAGATCGAAATATTCGCGAAACCTTTATATTATCTTTTTTTATATGATCATCCTGTATGCAGCAGCATTTTATGGTAAAGATCATGTTTAACAAACAAAATTAAATTTAAATACAAAGTTTCGAGTTCGAGTCCATGCTACTAACCGTTAAAGAGTTCCCTTGTAAGGAGACAATGCTGGCTGCAGCAGCAGTTCATGATAGAAATCGTGTTAAACTATCAAAATTAAGCTAACATACAAAATTTCGTGACTCTGCTATTACTCGTTGAAGGGTTCCCTAGAGAGGAGACAATCCTGGCTGCGGCATCAGGTTATATCTATTATATTATTGTATTGTCACTGAAGTTACGGTATAAAAAATTTCAACTTAATCAGACATCGGGAAGTGGTTCAAATCTTACTTGCAATATGTGAACTTAGCACACATACCTACTATAACATATACTATACATACCAACCCACCCACATACCTACAAATGCTTAGTAAAAGCTTGTTATAACAATAAAAAGGTAAAATCACAGCATGTAGTACCCTGTTCTTATTAAAAAAGGATCATTCAATAACATAAAGGTACTTACTTGAAAAAGTAATGATCAAGTATTTACTTACCTCTTGTATTCCTTGAGATAGTTAAAGTATGATATATTTTATTGTTTCTAGTATTATTCATACATAAGTATTGTGTACAATAAACAATTATAATACACGTTTTTACTTTAAAATATTCAAAGTTGCAACTACGAAACAAACAACGTACGTCGCGCTGACGCTGAGATTATTGTCCACTGGCTATGCCAGCATAACCGGATTTTTCCTGTCTCACCGAGTATGCGACAAGCGGCCAGTGGTCGCGCAAACATGCTCCGCGTGCTTGTGTAATAGTGCATATAGTAGTGCAACCGATTCGCTCCTGTAATATTGTTTAATAATGGTTTGAAGTGGATTTTGGTATGTAAGACTGGTGCAATTTTGTGTATTAAATTTCTGCACATGTGAACTATTAGTGGAATGGTGAAAGTGCTGCCATGGTGATGTGAAACGTAAGATAACGTGTCTGTCTGCTTAGGCGCCTTAAGATATTATCGTCAATTGTATTCTGGCTCGGGATTTCTCAAAAACTACGCAATGTGACGCATCAACATATTGTGAAGCAGTGTAGTATAAGAATTATAACCACTCTTTACAGAGGTAAATGAAGACAAAGCTTAAAGAAAAAGCATCCAACTCAAAAATCTTATTAAAAAAGAACGTCATGAGCGTAGAGTATAATTATACTAGAGTAAACGTAGTGGTTATATTCTCTTTGCTAGAGATGAGCAGGGGAAAAAAATATATTTTATGACTTCAAACAAGAGGAGGTACTCAAGTCGACTGTATGTTTTTTTATGTGTGTTACCTCATAACTTCCTTCTGGGTGAACTGATTTCGATGATTCTTTTTTTATTTGAAAGTTGGTGCTTCACATGTGCTCACATATTAATTTGATCAATGTCTGACTTATAATGTTATTCTTAATAATTTATATTGAAGTGGGTAGAACAAAATTTTTAATTTTTAATAATTGTTTTTTTTTATAGGATAGGGTGACAAACGAGCACACAGTCCACTTGATGCTAAGTGGTTACTGTGACCCATAGACATCTACATCTATCCTCAATAAAGACTCAAGATGCAGATGCGTTGTCACCCGTGAGGACTAAGATGGAATGCCTCTTTGCCAGTAAAAAGGGTCTCTACACTCACCATACGAAACACAGCAGCGTTAAGCTGTTCTTTTACGCTGGTTTTCTGTGAGAGCGTGGTCCTTCCCCGGTCGAGCCAACCCATTCGTGCTACAACTATACTACTAATATAGCTGCAGCATGGATCTACCACGTAATAATGAAATGTTGTTATTAACGTAATGTAATGTTGAAAACAACTTCCCCATAATGTTCACTGTATATCGAAATTATAACATAAAACGTAATTTTCGCACATTGGACTTTGTGGAATATGAAAATTTGTGTTTATTACATGGTTTATAGTGATAACTCACACTTTGTATTTAATTTTCAGTTAATTCTGGTTATTAAATATAGTGATTCGCGAACAACACAGTATTTGAAATCGAAATTTTATAAAGTGTATAAAGAGTAATGGCAGAAAAATAGTTGACAAAAATTATAGCGTCTAGAAATAAGTTATATATAAAATGAGTTTTATTATTATTCTATGATTATTCAAATAAAAATGTATTTTAATTAAAGCCACAGAAAAAAACAAACATTTTTGGGAATATCAAATGACTGAAATCATTTTACTCTATACAAATGTTGCCATTTAGTATATTTATACTATTTTCGTATACACTTTGTAAAACTACCAACACAACCCACAAAATATTTTTATATTAAGTTATTATTAGTAATAACTGTACTATCAGTAATAATAAAAATAAAGGGTATATGGCTGAGAATAAGTCTAATACAAAGAATTTCCTACAATAATACATTATCTCAATGATAGTACTATGTAACCATGGTATAAAAATAAAAAGATACTCTGTGTATGTAACAATTCCATTTAATGTTATGCCAACACTAGCTAAAATAAAATGTCACTGTTTTTTTTACTGGCTCTACGGCTCTGGGTTCTAGCCCTTCTGAGAATGTCACTATGATACAAAAGACCTGGGAGCCATGCAGGAAATATACATTTAAAGTATGCAAATAAATAATAGAGATACAATAATCTAAAAACTCTCAATTATGTATTATGTATTAAGCCAATATCAAACAACCACAGGAAGCATGACTTTTTCCTAGTGACATAGGACATAACCTAAAAAGTTCAAATGTAAATATCTTTTTTTTGACGCTTTTTCAGTACAAAATTCTTTGACAGAGTTAGTAAGGGACTGAGGCTTAACATTTTAAGATATTTTTGGTATATAGACGCTACCATTTCTTCTCAACTAATTTTATGTATGAAAGTCTGCCATTGTTCTTTGTTACGAAGGAAAATATAAGGAATTAACTTTTAAAAATAGTGTAATTACTTACCTTTTATATAAAAACTAACAAAAAACTTTCTTTTGTACCCACTTAATTTTTTTAAATTTGTAGTTGTCTCATACACTCACGCGGCGAAGGAAATAAGACTAAAGTATGTAACGTAAACGCGACGCGTAGGTAATAGGTAAAGGCGGAAACTCGTCATTTGAAGTAAATTCTGTTAATTTAGAGAAGCGTAATTTAGTAACGAAACTAATTCTAATAAAATTTTAGTTTTATAATTCATATAAAAAACATTAAAAAAATAATTGTTCTGATCACTCTTAACTATGGTTCTGACTAAACGTAGTGATCATATACTCTTTGGTTCTGAGGGGTCCTTTCTAAATATTACCATACTCTTTGGAGCGTTCTACAAAGGACAAAGGTTACCTTGGATTACCTCATACCACGGAAGTAACGAAGTACATAATATATTTCCATGCCTCATACAGTACGTCCAAGACTAGACAGATTAAAATATATCGAAATTGATACAAATTCGATACTCTAAAATAAATATCGACGTATCGCGATTTAAAATATCGACGATATATATCGATATTTTTATTAAAAAATATCGATATATTATCGAATCGAATAGAGTACATGTCAAGTTATTTGTCATTTGTCAACTGTCAAGTAGTCCATAGATAAATATATATGTAGCAAGCTAAAGTAGTCCTTTATATATATATTTATTTATAATTTATAATATTTTATTATGTAGAGAAGTTACAAACTTTAATAATTATAATAAGCATACATAAATAAATATATACCTAGCTAATGCTAAATTGCTAATAGGTCAGGTCAGGTCAAATCAGGTCTTAAACACTTTCGTTCATTTGTGTATTCCTTGATGATATATATAAATAATGAATACGAAGGTATGGTATATTTTGAAAATAATATAATCATAGACATGAGAACTCAAACTTATTATTTTTATTATGATTCTTTAGGAATCTACACTTAGTAAGAAGCGACATGTAATCTGTATGGCCTCCGATTTTTTCTATCCGAATACTGGCGGAGTGGAAGAACATATATACAATTTATCTCAATGTTTGATTAAATGTGGTCACAAAGTCATCGTAATCACTCATTGTTATGGTAAGCGGGTTGGAGTCAGGTACTTAACTGGTGGCCTCAAAGTGTATTATTTACCAATCAGGGTTTTTTACTCTCAATGTGTTCTACCAACAATGATATGCAATATAGCATTAGTTCGATATATATTGATACGAGAATGTATTGAAATTGTCCACGGTCACTCAGCATTTAGTGTTTTAGCTCATGAAGTTTCAATCATAGGTAAGTTATTAGGTTTGAAGACAGTTTTTACAGACCACAGCTTGTTCGGTTTTGCAGATACATCAGCAGTTTTAACTAACAAATACTTGCAAATGTGTCTGTGTGAGTGTGATCATTGTATTTGCGTGTCACACACAGGGAAAGAGAATACAGTATTAAGGGCTAAAGTGAAGGCACACAAGGTATCTGTAATACCTAATGCAGTAGATGCCTATAATTTTATTCCAGACCCAAGTCAGAGGGATCCAAATGTTATAACCATAGTTATTGTGTCTAGATTAGTGTACAGAAAAGGTGTAGATTTGATGGCTGCTGTGATAGCTGATATGTGTCCACGTTATCCAAAACTTCGGTTTATCATTGGAGGTGATGGACCAAAGATGTGGCTCTTGCAAGAAGTTAGAGAAAGAAAGGGCTTCCAGCACTGTGTTACCCTGTTAGGAAGTTTAAAACATTCAGAAGTGAGAGATACTTTAGTAAAGGGTGATATATTTCTTAACACATCCTTAACAGAGGCCTATTGTATGGCAATAGTTGAGGCAGCATCATGCGGTTTAAAAGTAGTGTCAACAAAAGTTGGAGGTATTCCAGAAGTGCTGCCAGAAAGTATGATATATCTTACTGAACCTAATGTTTCCAGTATTGTAGAAGGTATAGAATTAGCTATAAATGACATTCAGAAAGGAAATATACTATGTCCATATGAATGTAATAGAATGATTAGGAAGATGTATAATTGGATGGATGTAACAAGACGGACTGAAATAGTTTATGATAAAATATTAAAAAACAAAAATAAACCATTGGGTCGACAATTGAAAAGTTACCTTAGCAGTGGTGTGTGGCCATTTCTTTTAGTTATAAGTTTAATGTATCTACTCTTACAATTAGTAGAGAAAATATATAAAAGGAAACATATTGATATTGCAAAAGATTTGAAGTTATAGCATTGTATGCAGGTATTACATTGCAACTTGGTTTCATTGAATTATTATTTCAACCTCAAATATGGTGCCATTGTTCTCACCATTTAAAATGTTGAAAAATTTATGTGATATTGATAAAAATTTGCTACAAATAATTATTTTATAGATTTGCAATGTTTACTTTTAAGATATAATATCTAGGTCAAATTATATATTTTTATAAGAATAATAAATGTTCAGTTGTATTAGTCAATGTAAAAGTGTAAAAAATTAACAGGTTAATAAGGTTTCATAAATAAAACTGGAAAACCATATTTGGAATGATTTTATTTTATAATATGTTACAATCATAAGTTTCGCTTGCTACCAGAACTATTTGGCTATTGTTATTAATAAATAACAATATAGTGATATTCGCTAACATTTATCATAATAGAGGTGACAGTAACATGTCATGTAATATTTAATATTAACAACAGGTATAATGATCTTATTTTTAAATAAGTATTAATTTCAAACTCCCGAGATTAACATTTATACAAAGAAATACTCAAGCCTGTACTAACTCTCCTTCAATGTTGCTCCAGCAATTTAAGCTCTGTAAACAATAGAAAAATTTACCATTGAATACAAATATATACTGTAAAAATCAAATTAAAATTTTGGCTCAATAACAAAACCTTTTAATGATACTATAAAAAATCTTTTTGCGTGATTTTGTGTTCAAAAGTGCACGCCTCTGAGTTTTTCATTTAATTTTGATGAGAAAAAATAAATTGTATTCCTGACTTTTAAAATATATTATTTACGTGTTTTAAATTTAGCGCTCGTATTAGTTTAACAGGTAGTGTCACCTACAGGGGAAAAAATTAATAATGTTTTCCAAAATAAATCGATTACACAATATAATATGAAATCGATATAGGCCGTATGGTACATTTGTCTTTTGTCTATCAAGGGCTAAAAAAATATCAAAGCGCCTTTATATTTTTAATAGCAATAAAACTTGTAAAAGTTGAAAATCATTTTATTAACAATATGAAATAGGGAACCAGTTGATGTAATTCTGAAGCTAATAAAAAACAACCGGGTCTCGATACGTAAATTTTTTCGGGAGTTATCGTGACCACATACAAAATCAACATCCGGACTTCCACGTAATTTTTTTTTCAAAGTAGCAATATAAAATGATTGTTTAGAAAATATAAGATGGACTAATTAGTGCTTTCTTGATATAATCAGTCTAAATAAATAGTCTGGCTATTGTTTTTACCTTTTGAAAACACTTTTGTTTTACTATTCTTACTAATTAGACGTTTTCAGATCGACTTTACTTTTACATTTGTATAACATTAAATAATATATAACATTTGTAAGTATCAATGAATCATAAACCTTATTTTCTCCAAGTTAAGGTTCTTGATTTTTGATATTTAATAGGCTTTAATATTGAAGAAGCAAATATGGCGAAGTTTTTAGGTATAGTGATTGATAATCATCTCACTTGGAAGCCTCATGTTGAGGATCTATGCAAACGACTCAGCAAATCCGCATATGCGCTTTCTCAACTTTCAAAAAAGGTTAACAGCCAGGCTCTTTTGATAGCATACCATGGACTAGTTGCTTCCGTTTTACGATATGGCATCATTTTCTGGGGACAGTCTTCTGATAGGGAGCTTGTATTTAGGATGCAAAAACGATGTGTAAGATCAATGTGTGGTCTCAAAGTAACAGATAGCTGTTTTCCTTATTTTAAATACTTAAAAATCCTAACGCTGCCGTCATTGTATATACTGGAAACAGCTATTTTTGTAAAAAGGCATCCCTTTCTTTTCCAAAAAATATCTGATATTAGAAAGAATCCAATACGTACCCACTACATAAATAGGTTATGTTACATAAAATGTAAAACATCATTAGTGAAAAAAAGCTTCTTTGGTATTGCCCCACAAATTTATAATAAACTACCAGATTCAATAAAAAATATGACCTTATTTAAATTTAAAAAGGTGCTGAATGACTTATTAATAAACAAATGTTATTATAAAATTGATGAGTTCTTGAATGACAATTTTGACTAGTAATTTTTATTGAATATTATCATTTTTTTGTTATTGTAATCAATTTAATTTTATAAATGTAGAATTTTCATTAGTATGCCAATTTCAATTATTTCTATTCTATTTTATCTTATGGCATGATTTTTCAAAAGAACACTCAATCATATTTGTATGTCTTTAAGACAAAACATTTATTGTATTTGCACACCTCATAAGGTAATAATACAATGTACATATTATAATTTTCTGTAACACCTTTTATACATGTATTATGCAAATAAATGAATTTGAATTTGAATTTGAATATTTACAAACGTTATTATTAGGTGAAAATTTAATTTAATAAAAACCAATGTTTTGCAGTGTGGTTTAGCTATACCTACTTGTATAAATTATTTATTTTATAAAACAAAAATAATACAAAATGTTTGTAATCTCTGCAAAAAAGTAACTTACACTCCATTTCAAGGAAAATACGTAGTTAGCCACTAAAAACAAGTATACTTTCCGTTGCAACTGATGTTTAATATCAACTAAACTTAAACAGATCTAAACAAGTGAATAAAGCATAAATAAGAACACATAGCTGATGGCACAATAGGCGTGTCATCAACTTCTATGGCGAATATTTGTTCGCAGCCACAGCTAAAAGTTGTCGCAAATTGGTGTTGCAACGAGTCGGTTAAGTTAATTTTAGTATAACATCATCATCATCATAGCCTATCAAAACTCTACTGCTGAAATAGATGTTCCTCATTAATTGCCTCATAGGGGTTTTCGTCATAGCTGCCTGCCAGCTTGGCAGGTGGGTTGGCAACTGCAGATTTTTTTTATTATTTTGTGTTATTAGGACGATGCTGCTGCCCATCTCCTGTTTAATTTCCCTCTGTTGCCTCTTACGACACCCACGATATGATACGGGGTAGTGGATATTCTAACATCGCCACTAAACGGCGAATTTTATTATAATATGTTTATTAATTATAATTCAGAGGTATAGTTAAAGGTATTGTGTAATATATAAAAAATCATACAGTCCTCCTTTTTTTTAGGTTGTCTGAAAAAGGGATGATTTAGAGTACTAAAACTAATGATAATACAAATTATTGATATATATTATAATTACTTTAGCACTAATAAGCCATGAACGACCAGTGGAGATGGTTCTCAAATTAAATTATAATTATAAAAAAAAACTAGCGACAGGAGCCTAATGTAAGGCCTGGACCGCAAAGCGAAACAAGTCCGAATCCGCCATTCGAATATTGTCGTGAACCACTCCTAGCACGAACAGGACATTTAATGTTAATAGGTCTGCTAGATTTATTTACTTTTTATTGTAAAAAAATAAAATAAAAGAAAACAACCAAACTAAACTCTTCAACAGAGTATTTTGATTTACAAACATGTATAGCTTGATCATATTACAACTGCGAATGTCTAGCTTTAATATACACTTTACTCAAAAACCGTAGTGCACAATATAGCTATGATTAAATCTTTACCTCCTCTTCTACGGGCGCCGCATTTCTGAGTGAAACATAAATTTCCATTTCATTATTATAACAGAAAAGGTTAATAAAGTAAAAGGTGTTTGACCTTAGAACTTACTGCTACATCATGCTATTAACTGCCTCCTTGCTCTAGTGGTCGTAAACGCGATTACTGGTAAGGAGGGCTTGAGTTCGAATCCCGGGTTGGGCCAAAATAATTTAAGCTATACTATACTATACGTGGTAGAGCTATGCTGCAGCTATATTAATAGTATAGTTGTAGCACGAATGGGTCAGCAACACCGGGGAAGGACAACTCTCTCACAGAATACCAGCGTAAAATAGCAGCTTAACACTGCTATAATTCGTATGGTGAGTGTAGAGAAACGGAGACCCTTTTTACTTGAAAAGAGGCATTCCATCTAAGCCCTCTGACAAGTGGCTGACAACGCATCTGTTTTTTAATTCGCAAACTAAGATAGACGTAGAAGAGAGATAGGCCATAGCAACGACTTACCATCAGGTGGACTGTGTGCTGGTTTGTCACTCTTACTCTATAAAAAAACCGGCCAAGTGCGAGTCGTACTCGCGCTCCGAGGGTTCCGCACAAATCCGTAGTTTAAAATTATTAAAAATATCTTTATTATATGATTTAACTAAAAATTTATGCTTTTCGCAATTTTTCCTTTATCTGTGCTACAATACGTTGTTTCGTACCAAATTTTAAGATTTTGAGTTCACGGGAAGTACCCTGTAGGTTTTGATTCACTGATTCCCTTGCGAATGTCGAAAATTTGCGGCATAAACGGCTGTATCTTTTGATTGCGTTTGGTTACAAGTTTGATTTTTTCACAGCTCCAAGGGTCAGTAGACTTGAGTATTTCATATGAATTTCAGCTAGATACCTCCACGCGTTCCTGAGAAAAAGGGTCTTTACAGACAGACAGATAGACGAACAACAAAGTGATCCTATAAGGGTTCCGTTTTTCCTTTTGAGGTACGGAACCCTAAAAGCGCGTCTACTGATCAGGAGATCTTGGGTTCAAATCCCAGGTTGGGTTATAATAATTTATTGACATTTTCTGTCAAGAAATTTTCGGTAGCAGCCAGGTGTCAGGATGTAGGAGGTTCTCCCCTGTATGTCAGAAAACATGCAAAGTCATTGATATTGCACCTAATCCCTCTCCAGTAGTGTTAGATTCCCGTCCCATTCGACTATAAGAGTGAGGGTATTAGCATATACCTGTGTTTGCGCACACACTCATGCACTATATTCTTGTCCTGCGCAGATACCTAATAGCCATTAGTAGAATACAAGTTTGTAAGTGTACTGTCATCAGGCGTTAATTGTGTTGTGAATCGGCGTAATAGTGCAGTGAACTGAGGATAAGGGTTATGAGGAGATATAACCGTGCAGTGAACTAGTGCAATCAAGCTGTGAACCCGTGCAGGTGTGGTGTGATCCAGTGTAGTTGTGCTATGAACCAGTGTAAAAGTGCTGTGACCTGGGTAAGCTGTGCTGTAAGCAGGTATAATTTACGCGAATTAAGCACAAAGTCCACTTAATGGTAAGTGGATGCTGTAGATATTGCGGCCCATAGGCAATCTGCATTTCATTTTCATTTAACTAGTACTGCTCGATGGACTAAGAGGGAATGCTTCATATCGAGTAAAAAGGGGTCTCTGGTTTCCTACACTCACCATACGAAACAGAGTAGCATTAAGCTGCTATTTTATATATACTGTTATTCTGTGAGAGTAATTAAGAAAGACCCATTAATGCTGCAACCATATTATAGCTGCAACGGGGCTCTACCATGTTTATGTATGCATTATAGAATAGAATAGAATCATTTTTATTCAATATAATTACAGTACATAATACTTATTGAGTCATTTTTTACTTTTACCATTGGTTCGTCTAAAAACCACTGTCCTATATCAGTCATGTACTTTTTAGTAGTATAATACAGATGCTAATAAAGACCACAAGTTTGTAATTGTATGTCATCTGTGTATAATAATGCTGTGAACTGGTGCAATTCTTTTTTATAGAAATAGGGTGACAAACGAGCACACGGTCCACCTAATGGTAAGTGGATACTGTGACTCATGATAGACATCTACATTTATCCTCAATTAAGAATCAAAATGCAGATGCGTTGCTACCTCTGAGGACGAAGATGAAATGCTTCATTTGTAGTAAAATAGGTCTTCGGTTCTCTACATTTACCATAACGAAACAGTAGTATTAAACTGCTATTTTACACTGGTATTTTGTGAGAGCATGGTCCAGGCCCGGGTGAGCCGACGCATTCGTGCTGCAAGCATAATATAGCTGCAGCTTGGCTCTACCACGTAAAAAGCTATTAAGCTGTGAATCAGTGCAGTAAAGCTGTAAACCAGTGTCGTTAAGCTGTGAAATAGTTTAGTTGAGAGTTGAAGAGGCATTCCATTTTAGTCCTCACGGGTGACAACGCATCTGCATTTTGGTTCTTTATTGAGGATAGACGTAGATGTCTATGGGTCACAGAAACCACTTACCATCAGGTGGACTGTGTGCACGTTTATCACCCTATGTTATAAAAAAAATAGTTCAGCTGTGAACCAGTGTAATTAATGTCAACGATTGTATGTGTGGTGTGAATCAAGGTAGTTATACTGTGAAGCAGTGTGTGGTGTGTTCATTGTACTTACACTGATTACCGTGTGTAATTATTTAAATAATACTAGTTGGTTTGGGAGTTTAACGCTTATATATAACTTATTTTATAACCTCGACGATTTGAGTACTTTATAGCACCCACAAGTCACATAGGGATTGGTGGTGAATATAACATATATTAATATACGCGATATAATATTGGACAAGGGTCGCATTGGACAGAATCCAATGGATAGTTAATAGAATCAGGCGTTACTTTGCGGAAGTCCATTATGTTAAACTTCGCGAAGTAATTTTTTGCCAACTTTAATAGAATCCAATGGATACTGTTGAGGAGGCCTACATTAAATTTAAGCATACTACCTACTATGAAAAAATTCGGAAATAAAAGGGCTTTATTATTATTATGTACGAGGGTGCGTTTATAAGTTCGCGGAATGCATAGGTAGGTAATAAGTCGTTGAATTACGTGCTAACTGAGCAACTCATTATGCGTATAAATACGGGGTTTTATTGTAATTAGATCATTAATTAGTCTTTGAGTTATCGTCAACCAAACAAGTCAGTCGGGAAGAAATCGTGAAATATGGAGAAAATCGAATTCCGTGCCGTTATTAAGTTCCTCACCAAGCGCGGAAAATCAGTTCACACTATACTGGAAGAGATGTCACCCGTTTACGGAGATTATTGTCCAAGTAAAACTATGGTTTACAAGTGGCATACCCTTTTTAAACAAGGCGGAGAGTCACTTGAAGACGACCCACGGCCAGGAAGGCCGATCGAGGTGACCACTTCGGAAATTATTCAAAAAGACGAAAAATTAATACTAGAAGATGCCCGCCTAAAGAAAAAATAGCTCGCAGAAATAGAAAGAGTATCAGATACAACCATTTTCAAAATTCTTCATGACCATCTTGGCATGACTAAACAGCGCAAGATGAGTGCATAGAATGCTCACGTCGCCTCAAAAGCAACAGCGTGGAGTGTTCTTGTACCTCTTTTTGGACCTCTGTAAGTCTCTAAAATTAAAACTGCATCCGACAAAATTAAAATGACCTGGAGAATAATAAATAGTGAAACGGGCAAGGTCAAACCGCGCAACTCGGATTTTCAATTGAATATTAACAATAATTTAACGCGATCTGATCGAGAAGTTGCTATGGCTTTTGAGAAACATTTTACTGATGTTCCTTTTTTGACAACAAAATCATTAAATTCTTCTCCTACTGTCGCCGAATCATTGCTCAAACAAAATGTAAAGGCTTGTTCAAATACTTTTAAATTCCATAGAGTACTGCCAAAAGATATCGTTAAATATTTTAAAACTATTGATGTTAAGAAAACGGCAGACTTATGGGGGATTTCCGTTAAAGTTATTTTATCTATAATAGATATATTAGCACCTTATCTAGCCACTATATTTAATATAAGCGTCGAATCTGGTGTGTTTCCTGATTTAATGAAACATAGTAAAGTCATACCCATATTTAAATCTGGTAGTACATTAGACCCCGCCAATTTTAGATCAATTTCTGTACTACCAACATTAAGTAAAATTTTTGAAAAAATTTATTTTAGATCAGATGTTAAGTTTTTTTAATATTAATAAATTGCTACATAAAAATCAATTCGGTTTTACAAGGGGTCGCTCGACAACTGACGCTGGAGTTGAGCTTATTAAACATATTTTTTGTGCATGGGAGAATTCAGAGGATGCTTTGGGTATATTTTGTGACCTTTCCAAGGCCTTCGACTGTGTTCACCATGAGACATTAATTAGGAAGCTACAGTACTATGTTGTCAAGAACACAGCGCTTAAACTTATTATATCATATTTAAGTAATAGAAAACAGAAGGATATTATCAATGGTAAAAGTTCTTCCGGGTCACCTGTACTAATGGGTGTTCCTCAGGGCTCGATTCTCGGCCCATTCCTGTTTCTGGTGTATATTAATGACTTACCTCACCTTGTAGGGGATAGTCATGATATAGTATTATTTTCTGATGATACTTCCTTGATTTTTAAACTTAAACGTCAATCATTTAAATGTGACGAAGTGAATAATGCTATATCAAAATTAGTGTGCATTGGTTTAACGTTAATAATATGCATTTGAACGGAAATAAAACTAATTGTGTTAAATTTACAACAACGAATATTAAAAATCTGAATACCAATGTATTTTTAAATGGGAAGGAATTGAGCCCTGTTGTATCCACTGTTTTTCTTGGCATCACTCTTGACGCAAAGCTCCAGTGGGGCCCCCATATATCCAAATTAGCAAGCAGACTAAGTTCTGCAGCCTATGCTGTAAAAAAGATTAGAGGTCTCACTAGTGTCGAGACAGCTAGATTAGTTTATTTTAGTTATTTCCATAGCATAATGTCTTATGGGATTTTGCTATGAAAAAATGAAAAAAAGTGATGTACATTCTGTAAATACTAGGAACAAACACAAGCTAGTGATGCCAGTTTCTCGACTCCACAGAGTCAGTAATTCATTCTTGGGGCAATGTATACGCTATTACAACAAGGTCCCGGAAAGTGTACAGGTTCTCTCTATTACAAAGTTTAAATGTTTTATTAAGCTGAAACTGTATAAAAAGGGTTATTATAGTATAAATGAATACATGGTTGATAATAACCCCTGGGAATGAGGTGGTCGCTTCCAAGGAGTCTCTAAAATACATTTTGTAAATAGTTCGTAATCATTTATATTGTAAAATTTATTTTAAAAAAAAAGTGCCGCTGGGTTTCTTGCTGGTTCTTCCCAGGACAGAGGGTTTTTTTTCGTACCAGTGGTAAAGTAAAAAATGACTTTCAATAAGAATTACACATGTAATGTATATTGAATAAAAAATATTCTATTCTATTCTATTCTATGGAAGACAAAGATGGAGTTTTGGCTCGAATTGTTACTGGTGACGAAACTTGGGTTAAAGATAAAGGTGTCTCCATAACCGGAAATTACTACGCTTCAATCCTAGAACAAGTGAAGGAAGCCATAAAGGAGAAAAGAAGGGGAAAATTGAAGAAAGGAATCCTTCTTCTGCACGACAACGCGCCTGTTCACAAGTGCCATGTTGCGATGGCTGCCCTGCATAAGCTGGGCTTCGAAATTTTGCCACACCCACCCTATAGTCCTGACCTGGCCCCCAGTGATTATTATTTATTTCCAAACTTAAAAAAAAAGAACTTCGTGGGATAAAGTTTTTAAGTGATGAAGAAGTGAAGGAAGCAGTTTCGGCTAATTTTTTAGACAAAGACAAATAATTTTTTGAGGGTATAAATAAGTTAACTGAAAAATCCGAAAAATATATGATGATAGTAGGTACTACACCTTAGAACATGGGTCACAAATAAATTTGATCCCGAGGAAAAAAAATATCTTTTCACAACGTTTTATTAATTTTATTCACGCTCCATCATGTAAGTACAGCTAAATGAAACGATAATTTCATTAAAAAAAAATCATGTAAATACTTAAACAAAAAACCAGCAGTGAAACTTAAAAGAACATCAGCTGACAATAGGGTCAATATCCTCGCGGGCGCCGAACTCCTATAGGTCCCGTCACGTAAAAAGCGGTAGCCTTGAACGTGGGCACTGAGCGATTTTAACTATTAAATTATTCAGTATCATTTCATTTTTATTTTCTTATACAAAATCAAAGATAACGATGAAATAGTGTTTATAATTGTGTGAGTACCCAATTAGGTACGTTTATTACTTTCAATAATTTTGTAGTAAAGAACAGCTTGTTGCGTCAGGGTACAATTGATTGTGTAATTGTATTAAAAATGACAACCATAACTTTTAAATTCCATATGAAGACTAGTCGTAGGGATAACTAAACTTGTCTTGTATGTCTTAACATACATAACGCTTTAACGGTGTGTGGAAGGTTCCAGTACTTCAAGTACTTTACCTTGTGCGCATTTGTTTTAGCGGAATTGATTAATAATTTTAGTTTTTGAGACAGTTCCGTGTTGACTATTACAAGAGACAGTTCAATTGTTTTGTTTATTAAATTATTGTCGTTATTACTTGATCTTAATGATATTATTCTTGTTGTTACGGTTTTAAAAAAAATTGAAGTGTTAAAGCGTAACCGAATGCGCTCATAAAAAGTGTACAAAGTGCAAGCGATCACGACCGCCGGCGATTTTTTTGCCGCAGCAACAACGTGTGCCTGGTTTCATTGAGCACGTCATCTGGACGGACGATTCGACATTTACTAGAAACTGCCTGTGGAACCGAAGAAATACACACGTGTATTCCGAGGTTAACCCGCACGCTGTTCGACAAACCGGGCACCAAACCCGATGTTCGGTTAACGTATAGGCAGGTTTATTTATGGATTTCATACTAGGACCAGTGTTTCTGCCACAACGACTTAACGAGCAGCGATACCTGAACTTCATAAATGAACTTTTTAAACAACCGCGAACTTAAAAAGGCACCCTCGTACGCGATAAAATCTGTAAAAACTGGTTTTATTTCAGTATGTAGCGTTCGCATGAACATAAGAAATGATTAGGTGCAACTTCCTTCTTCTACTAGGTACTACTCATTGTACTTCCCGCTAGATAAATTGACGACGTGGAAGACATGCAGGGGGTCGATGTTTATGAGTTGCTGAGCTGTATAATCTTAGAAGTTGATAGAACTGATAAAGACTGGAACTGATTGTGTAATTTATTCTGATATTATTGATAGTGCACAAATGTGCTGTTTGTAAAGATCGTACACGATGAATTTGTGGGATTCCTTGGGGGAGGCCAGTATTCAGCGGTGGACTTGTGAGGGGCTGCACTGACGGTGACGATACTTACACGTTGACGGCACGCGGCGGGTACTTGGGCCTGACGCCGGCCTGCTTGAGTTGCAGCACGATGGAGCGCAGGCGCTGCACGTCGCGGCCGCGGCGCGGCCCGAAGTCGCACAGCTCGGCCACGCGCGCCCACTCGTTGCCCTCCGCCGCCCCCGCGCCCGCCGCCGCCGCCTCCCCGCCCCGCGCCAGCGCGCGCTCCGCGTTCCTACCCCGCGCGCACACAGTTACACCACACATTCTAACTCACATATTTATTGTAACATACCGTGTGTAACACAGTGTAAGAATATCCACTAATCAATCAATCAATATATTCTATATTGTACACCAATACACATTAGAACGAGCCAAATTGAAATAAATATATAAAAATTACAATAGGCGGTCTTATCGCTCCAGAAGCGATTTCTTCCAGGCAATCCTTGTTTAATGAAGATTTGCTGTTCACAGCGCATTGCAAATAAAGAAGGTGTACATTCATTTGACAATTAAGTTAAAATTATAAGGCACATATTGTGGCGGTGTCGTATGAGGCGACAGAGGGAAACAAATCAGGAAATGGGCAGCAGCGTTTTGCTGATAACAACTGAATTAAAATAAAACAACTGTAGATGTCAACCCACTTGCCAAGTGTTATAACTATGGCAAATAGCCCCTGACATAATACAGAAGTTACTGCCACTCACTGCCTTATTCTATCAATCCTGAGCTAATCCAGGCCAAAAGGACACCATTCTTATATTGACTGACATTAAAAGTTTTAAATAAAAAAACGAAAAGGCTGTGAAAAGTTAACAAATTATATTACAATGGCCACAGACCAAATGCATAATGGAATTAGTAGAATAATTATTGAGGGTTAGCAACCACAAATTTTTATTTTTATTTAGCTGTTGTTAGGGCAATGCTGCTATCCATCTCCTTGTTCAGTTCCTCATGTCACCTCTTAAGACACCCACAAGATGATATGTGGTAGTGAATATTATTACACCGCCACTACACAGTACATAATTTTATATGCTATGTAAGTTAGATTTTTTATATTACAGACAATAAAGAAAACAAAAATGTAGACAATGAACATTTATAATGAATTTCATTAACACTCAATTTTATTACTGAATTAACCATTTTATTGAATGATATCAGCCAGTTCCCGTAACAATGATTAGTTAATACCCACATGGTTGAAAAGTAAAATAATATATATTTAGAAGAGGATTTAAATTTACCAATCACCATTACATTCACCAACAAAACATTTGTTAGTATATATTGAATCTACTATATAAAATACTCACTTAGCAGACTCCCTGACAGCATTGAAAAAAATATAGAAAGAAATTAGAACACAAATTCATAAATAAATTTACAGCTATGGAGTAAGCAAAGGAAAAATATCACTATAAAACACAGCTTTTATACTAAAAACTTATGATATTGTTGTCAGTTGTACATATATCTTATATAGATATCTTATATAGATAAATCCTTGTTATCCACCTCGAGACATCATATAAAGTTGCTAAATCAGTTCATTTGTAAGCTCAGGCAATTGCTTACTTCACATTTAGGTTTAACACATTTTGGCTCTGTACCCAATATTGTGTAAATTATGTCAACAAACTGTCAAAAATCAGGGCATCTCACATAAATTGTAATAAGTACTATTATTAGAACTGATAAATAACAAAATAAATACTACATTGCAATATGGCTATAACATTATACTTATCCATAACAATACAACATCCTTTATCTTATTATGCTAGTACTGAACATGAATGTTTTGAATAAAGGACCTTTGGTGTTAAAGAAAAATATAGGTAATTCTGTATTATAAATGACATGTTTCCATAATAAATATACTTATCCACTCGTCTGTCGCGGCCATTTTGACCAATATGGCGCCTCTGTCGAGCACTTCCTGAAGTACTTCCAGACTACTTCCTGCTGTACATTAAAATGACTATTTCCAAGACATTTTGTATAAAAGGTATATTGAAATCAAATATCAATGGAAACTTTATTAAATAAGCTATCAGATTATGTATAACTCGAATATAGGTTTACTTAGAAAGTGATACTAATTCGAAAGTAAAAGTAAGAAAAGTGTTTTTCCCCAATTTTCTGCATTAAAGGTGTAATAATTATAAATAAAAGCCTTTATTCCAAGTACTATTTGTTTTACTTGTACGTCAAAAGCATATTTAACAATAAATAACTAAAACAAAGGAATTTCTTCATACATTTTTTGTACACGACAAGGTCGAGAACAATAGGCCTCAGTTAGCTCTACTTGAAATCGGGACAAGAATTGGGATGTTTACAATTCAATCCCGTATTGTGACCTGTACACTGGACTTTTATTACATCTTTGTCTATTTTCTTGATTACAGTAAAGTTAGAGAGAGGTAGGATTAGTAGAATCGATATACATTGATCTCTAAAGCTTCGCGGTAAAACAATGCTTGATTATGGAGTTTGACAGATGCGCATATTATTTGACACGCCAGAATATGGCGTTTGGACAGACAAGCAGTTATATAACCACAATCTTTAAAGTACTTAGGTTATTAAAGTAAATGTATAAGAAAGAACTAAAAATGTTAAGATTATTATCTGTGCCAGTTTCTTACTACACGCTTAAAAGGAGGCTCCAGTAACTTATTAGTGAAAGCTTATACCGTGTTTTAGAATATAAATAAATAAATAGTTCTAATTGACATGCAGCACCATGCAAATTATTGCGCAAGGCAAATCTATAGCAAGTTATCTAACTTACTTGTTAGCAGCTTTAGTTTTCACAATTTTATTTGTGAGTCTATAAAGGGCTTATAAGGAGACTCCATTGGCTTATTAGTGAAAGCCTTTACAGTTTAAAAAAAATAAAAATAGTTTCTATATAATTGAGCACCATGCACATTGTTGTACACGGCATATCTATAGTAAGTTATAAAATTTAATTTACCTGTTAGCAGCTTTAGTTTTAGCAATCTGTTCCTCGTGTGTCTTATACCAGTCTTCTAATTCTTTTTTGGCAATCTTCAACATCTCCTCCTTTTTTCTTTCTTCCTCCTCATCTAAAACAAATATAATATGATCTTTTATTTCAATCTAGAATAAGGGTGACAAATGAGCACACAGTCCACCTGATTGTAAGTGGATGCTGTGGCATATAGACACCTGCATCTATGCTCCATTAAAAATCAAAATGCATTGTTACCCATGAAGACTTAGTTAAAAGGGTCAGCATTAAACTGCTATTTCAGTATTCTGTAAGAGTGTCGTCCTCCACCGGTCTAGCCAACCATAACTGCAGCTTGTATTTCATTAAACATTTTCAATGTGGTAAGCATTGAAAATGTTTGTCTAAATTGGTGGTTGACAACTGTTGAGACAATACTCTCACTAGTGAGTATTTTCGAAGATATATACTATGATGCAGGAGGCTCGAGACAAGTGTTTTGTGGCATTCTTTGGATAACGCTTATGTTCAGCAGTGGATCTATAAAGGATTATATATATTAGATTATATGCATTAGATGGCCGCCTGTGTATAATTAGAATGGTACACCATGTGCAGCTATGATTGGCATTTGGCGAATTTATTACATCCCCTTACAATCCCTGTTTATTAAAAAAATATTAACATTTTCTCTTGTGTAAGTATTACCCTTTTCTTCTAGTCTCTTTTTTTGTTCTTCTCTCCATATCCTGATCTTCTCTGGTTCCTCTCTTTCCTGTCGGAAAACAGGTGCGGGGGCAGGCTCTACATCTATGAGGCCATTTGCTTCAAAAGCTGTGGCACTCGGAATTTCTGTAAGAAGTTAAATACAATACAATACAATAACTTTATTTCAGGCATCCAGGACTTAAAAATTAAGAACATTGGCCCATAGCAATATATACCTTAACCTAAAAATATATATAAAATATAGACATAACCTAACACTATTAAATGTAATTTATTAGTAATACATTAATAATACTTACCAGTGAATGTGAAAACGTATTATATATTCACAAAGTTTTATTAAGAGTAACACTGGTGGCATCATTCTGCAACCTGTGTTTTTTCTATATCTTTTTATATCACTTTTAAATTAAAATTAGATGTTATAATAAAAAAGTGTGCAGTTCACCAGGGAAACCTCCAGAAAACTAAACTTCGGGCGAGTAATACAAAGGCATAGTATCAGGTGTAGGATTTTTTTTTTTATAAAATTAGGGTGACAAACGAGCACAGAGTCCACCTGATGGTAAGTGATTGCTGTGGCCCATAGACATCTACATCTATCCTCGATTACGAATCAAAATGCAGATGCATTGTCAACTGTGAGGACTTAGATGGAATGCCTCGTTTCCAGTAAAAAAGGGTCTCCGGTTCTCTACACTCACCATACGAAACACAGCAGAGTTATGCTGTTATTTTACGCTGGTATTCTGTAAGAGCGTGGTCCTTCCCCGGTCGAGCCACCCATTTGTGCAACAACTATATCAGTAATATAGCTGCAGCATGGCTCTACCACGTAAAAATTATATATAAAATTATAATAGATTTTTCAGCCAATAGCGTAACAATCAAGTACATTGTTTTCTTTTTTTTTTCATTATTTTTTCAAAAAACCTTACCCCCACACTAGGATTTTCTCCCATATCATGGAGGCAGTTTACAAACACAAATTGCACAAGGACCAACATCCAGACCGGGAATAATTATTTGTAGGCCATACAAATACTTGTTCCGTGCGGGATTCGAACCCGTGGCCCCCGGCGCAGCAACTCATTGCTAAGCCACTGTGCCACGGAGCCGTCAAATTAACAATGGCCATGGAAAGTAACGCCACCAAGTGTATGTATTGTACGGGTCATAATTTCCTCAGTTAAAGAATTAATAGTTTAAAAAAGGACCAGTTAAAATTTATTGAGTCACTAACAAGCGAACCTGTGTAATTTATTGATTTTTAAATTTTGTCAGATCTGTGTGCTATGAAAACATTCGCTTACCAACAAAATCCTCTAAACCATTTGAAGCAGGAGTGGTGATAGGGGGTGGAGCACTAGTTTCCAATTCATCTTCTAGACCAGCAAGTTGATTCTGTTCTCGTGCCAGAAATTCAGCCGCAGGGTCTACGTCAGGCAGGACGAAGTTGTCGCCAAAGTCATCCATTTAGAACAATAAGTTAGAAATTTTTAGTACAAAAACTTTGCTTTGACGATTTGACGTCGAACGTATTCAAAATGTACTCCACAGACACAGATCACAGAATACCTAGTAGTGATGGGTCAACTCGAGTTACTAATTTCCTATATAAAAAAGTACTCTGTGGTTACTAACTTGAGTTAATTCGAGTTGCGCTTATCTCGAGTTGGAACTCGCAAACTCGAGTTTGCGCTGCTGTACATGAACGGATCAAGTGAGCCAGCAAAAGAGTAAGAGCGCGACTCGTTCGTTGTGTGCGCGCTCTGTGTTTTAAAGAGTTAGCTACAACCAACACAATTTGTTATTTAGAATTTTATAACAGCTAAGTTATTTAATTTAATTTATTTTATAATTTTGAAGGGTTTATGGTACGACTTTCCATTGACGTCAGTGGAGTTTGGGGATGATACGTATTTTTACAGAAAGATTACACTATTATAAGCACACACACAAAGTCTCAATATACGGAAACGCGTAATTTTTGAGAAAAGAATAATTGAAAATATATTATTCTTGCAATGTTTATGTCTAATCTCCTAATAAACTGGCGCCATTTTTTAATGTCATTGTCGACGTCAATAGGGATGTCGATTCTTTCCGAAAAAGATTTTTTTTTTTAAATAGATTCGAATTGTAAGCTAATGTATCGATTCTCAAAAAATCGATTTCTTAAATATCGATATTTTTTTCATGTTTGCATTTATAATGTAAATATAAATCCATTTTATGAGAAAAAATCCCCTTCATCATAAAAGAATAAGGGGACTGATTCATAAGTCTTTCTGTATCTATTTTGAGACTGCTACGTCTACGGCGCTGCGGGAAGAGCAACCTCTACGCCTTAGCGTAACAAATCGCAGGCATCCCTCCTCGCTTCCGCAGCTTCGGCTTGTTGGTCGCCTTTGGCGACCAGCCTCAGCCGCTCCGGCTCGTCCGATGCCTACGATTTGTTACAGCAGGCGGAGGCTGCTCCCCCTACGCGCCTCCGGCTCTATAAAACCACTCTTGGGGTAGGACAGACTCGTACCAGGTGGAGTCGGGGTCAATCAATTCGGTTCATTGACACAAGTTGAACCTAACCTATTTTATTTGTTATCTGCCCTAATAAGTACTGTTAAATAAAACAAATTTCAATAAGAGATCATTTATCATGGTATCTTTCTTGTTTTTCATAAAATGGGTTTATTTCATAAAATATGTTTTACATTATAAATAGAAACATTAAAAAAATAAAAATATTTTAGAAATCGATTTTTTTGTGAACCAATACATCAGCTTACGATTTGAAACGATTTAAAAATCGACCTTTTTCGGAAAGAATCGACATCCCTATTGACGTCGACAATGACATTACAAAATGGCGCCAGTTTATTAGCAGATTAGAGGTCTGTTAAGCTGGAATGGTCATTTGGGCAAAATCACTTAAAATTTTGCTAAATATTTAGTGCTCATTTAGTGCTAATTTAGTGCTGCAAATTTAAATTTCACGCCAAAATAACTTGATCAAAAATTAGAAAACTGCTAGCTTTTAATTAAGCTAGCAGTGTTCTACCTATTAAAACGATAACCGCTTAATACAGCACCAAATAGAAGCATCAATAATTTAGTGCTCATTTAGTGCTGCCGATATACGCAAAAACAAATATTGGGAAAATATATATTTTTTTAATATCATAAATTCTGCTACTTTGACATCTTTAGCAGAGCATGTATTGAAAAAATAGACATCCAAGTGGATTATCACCTAATGATAAGAGATAATAATTTAATGCTCATTTAGTGCTGCCGATATACGCAAAAACAAAACTTGGGAAAATATTTTTTTTAATATCATAAACTCTGCTACTTTAACATCTTGTGCAGAGTATGTAATGAAAAAAATTAAATCAGAGTGGGCTATCATATAATTATATAAGATAATAAATTAGCGCTCATTTAGTGCTGTCGATATACGAAAAAGGATTTGAGAAATTATTTTTTTTAAATACCGTAAACTGCTACCTTGACATCTTTAGCAGAGTATGTACTGAAAAAAATTACATCGACGTGAATTATCACCTAATGATATAAGATAATAAATTAGTGCTCGTTTAGTGCTGTCGATATATGAAAAAGGATTTGAGATGTTATTTTTTTTAAATACCGTAAACTGCTACTTTGGCATATTTAGCAGGGTATGTACTGAAAAAATTGACATCGACGTGAATTATCGCCTAATGATATAAGATAATAAATTAGTGTTCGTTTAGTGCTGTCGATATATGAAAAAGAATTTGAGATATTATTTTTTTTAAATACCGTAAACTGCTACTTTGGCATATTTAGCAGAGTATGTACTGAAAAAATTGACATCGACGTGAATTATCACCTAATGATATAAGATAATAAATTAGTGTTCGTTTAGTGCTGTCGATATATGAAAAAGATTTGAGAAATTATTATTTTTAAGTACCGTAAACTGCTACCTTGACATCTTTAGCAGAGTATGTGAAGAAAAAATTGAGTTCGACGTGAATTATCACCTAATGAAATAAGGTAATAAATTAGTGCTCATTTAGTGCTGTCGACATACAAAAAAGGATTTGCGAAGCTATTATTTTTAAATACCGTAAACTGCTACTTTGGACATCTTTATCAGAGTATGTGATGAAATATTGACATCTAAGTGAGTTATCACCTAATGATATAAGATAATAAATTAGTGCTAATTTAGTGCTGTTGAAATAATTTTCCAAATCTTTTTTTCATATATCGACAGCACTAAACGAGCACTAATTTATTATCCTATATCATTAGGTGATAATTCACGTCGATGTCATTTTTTTCAGTACATACTCTGCTAAAGATGTCAAGGTAGCAGTTTACGGTATTTAAAACAAAATAATTTCTCAAATTCTTTTTAGTATATCGACAGCACTAAATGAACACTAATTGATTATCTCATATCATCAGGTGATAATTCACTTGGATGTCAATGTTTCATCACATACTCTGCTAAATATGCCAAGGTAGCAGTTTACGGTGTTTAAAAATAATAATTTCCCAAATCCTTTTTCGTATATCGACAGCACTAAAAGAGCACTAATTTATTATCTTATATCATTATGTGATAGCCCACTCTGATTTAATTTTTTTCATTACATACTCTGCTCAAGATGTCAAAGTAGCAGAGTTTATGATATTAAAAAAAATATATTCCCAAGTTTTGTTTTTGCGTATATCGGCAGCACTAAATGAGCATTAAATTATTATCTCATATCATTATGTGATAATCCACTTGGATGTCTATTTTTTCAATACATGCTCTGCTAAAGATGTCAAAGTAGCAGAATTTATGATATTAAAAAAATATATATTTTCCTAATATTTGTTTTTGCGTATATCGGCAGCACTAAATGAGCACTAAATTATTGATGCTTCTATTTGGTGCTGTATTAAGCGGTTATCGTTTTAATAGGTAGAACACTGCTAGCTTATTTAAAAGCTAGCAGTTTTCTAATTTTTTATCAAGTTATTTTGGCGTGAAATTTAAATTTGCAGCACTAAATTAGCACTAAATGAGCACTAAATATTTAGCAAAAATTTAAGTGATTTTGCCTAAATGACCATTCCAGCTTAACAGACCTGCAGATTAGACATAAACATTGCAAGAATAATTGATTTTTCAATTAATCTTTTCTCAAAAATTACGCGTTTCTGTATATTGAGACTTTGTGTGTGTGCTTATAATAGTGTAATCTTTCTGTAAAAATACGTATCAACACCAAACTCCACTGACGTCAATGGAAAGCTAAGCCGGGTTTATGACCAATATAGTTGCTTAATAATACTTAAAGTAATGTAAGTCACAGACCTATTATTGTAATACCCGAAAAGGGTGGTTCAGTTGTAAGATACACCATATTTTAAATTAACGCCAATTGTAACACTTACCTTACAATAAATATTTTAATTTTGAAAAATATTGAGTTTATTTAAGAATATTTTAACTGTGATAGTTAAAATATTAATAGTTTATGTACCTATATCTAAAAGCTGGACTAATATTGTTAGGTGAAGAATATACATATTAAATATTATACCCTTTTTATTTCAATCCTACATAATAAGTTTGGTAATTATGGTTATCCCAACCCGCCAAAGAGCTACATAGAAAATCAAAAAAAAAAAAAGTAATTTGTAACAAATCATTTACTCTGTTTTATACTGCTAACTCGAGTTGCGTAACTCGAGTTAAGCGCTTATTACATTATACAATTTTTAGAAAATCTAATTAGGAACCTAAGTTGGAAGCTAGTGATCACATTACACTAAATTGAATTCTAAATCGTGACGAAGCACATTCGTAAAAGAAGTATCGACGGGGTTGCACGTTTGATCGATGGCGCCGTATTTATCAAAACAGCAGAAAATAGGACTTGCCTTAGCCATGGTGGGAACAATGCATACTAAAAAAAGAAAAAAGAGAATATGCTGGGTTAAGGAATACTTGTCATTGTATTTGTAAATATTTAACAACGCCTTGAAGCCCTCTTCACGCATTGTTTTTTTTAAATAGTTTTCATCATTTTTATTATACAAATAGGGCATTTACCCTATACATGTCTATAATTTGTAATAACACCTCTTTTTCTGTGGACATGCTGCCACACGAATCACTGCTCTGTTCTGTCGCTTCACTCGCCATCGCAAACAAATGTCGCACGCGCAGTCAAGACACCCACTTAAGTTGAAGCGCGGGCGCCGACTGGTCGTTCTAAATCGTAACGTTGCGATTACACTGTCCTAAATTGTAGACAATTTAGAAAGTAGAGCGGTCGGGACCTCCAACTTTAACTAAATCGGATCCTAACTGTTCTAACTATGATTACACTTTCCAATTTCCTAATTAGATTTCCTCAAAATTGAATAATGTAATAAGCGCTTTAACTCGAGTTGTAATTTTTCCGGGTTGGCACATCTATACT